TCTTATGATTTTGCAAATTTAAAATCTCTGGGCTTCAAGACTTAATCGGTTTATTACCCTTGAATTGTTAAAACTGCTAAATCGTGACCCGATTCTTTTAATTACTCGAACAAGTACTTCAGGGAAATTTCATTAATGTTGGAACTTTAAAGTTACGACACGCTATAAATTTTGTTTTAACGTTATATGCCTTTAAAAGTTTTCGTATAAAGGGCGAATAAGGGTGCTCTTCTTCTTATAAGTTATACGAGCTGAGAACGATTTTATTACTCAAATAGACAGAAATAAAAAAAAAGAAATTGAAATGTTTGTATTCATTTATATTCTATCAAATTGTACCTATCTTTGAGCCTCTATTCTGAGGTTAAACAATTAGAAAATGACCCACTGTACAACATTTGGTTCAACTCATAATCAGGAGCTGCAGCACGTTTTTGGCTTTCCACGTTAATTTAGAACACAATTAATTTTTGATCAAAAACCATTTAACAAAATCTACCCAAAAATGGTCTTATCATTCCTCAAAAGTCGAAAAAGAATAATGTAATTATTACCTGAGACTCTTGAGAGTCACTATTATCATGACTCATTAATCAAAATATTGTTTTAACTATTTACATACTGTCGCGAAAATTTTGGAACGGCCAGGGTATACAGAATTGGCCCCACGTTGGGCGCCAATTTGTTACCCGCAAAACAATTCCTTTCGAAAAACTGAATAAACTAAACTTTAATTCTAAAAATTACAAGAAATTGCTAAATTTGTAATGAGAACTCGAAAAGAAATGCGTAAAAAATCGGAGCGCCGCTCGCATGTATGTTCTGCAAAGGGTTCTCGAGTACTGGCTGTTGAGCTAGATCGCCGCTGTTCCTGGGACACATTATTGCAGAAGGGCTCGTCGTTCCCCGGCACCGCACTACCTCTTAAAAGTTTTTCCTTTGTTAGATGCCCGGTTGTCAAGTTTTATAAAATTTCTGAACAACTTCGTGTGAAGGGTTGCCGACTAGCTTCCAATGCGGACAGGGGTGTGGATTAATTAAATAATTTGACCTTAAAATAATTAAATATAGAGCGCCACCTACTTTTCCCTGCAGTACACGAAATCAACCGACATAACGGATGCAGGAATCTTCTACGGACCCAGAACAGGTTTGACTCTAGAGCAGATTCGGAGTGGGTTTTCCGAACGCCCTGGAACCTTGAAAATTATTAACACTGGAACCAGAACAAAAACAAAATAAATCGAATAGGAGTACCTAACCTTACGTTCTAAAAATAGTATGCACAATAATTTAACTCAACTTTAGTCCCTAGGGGCCAATTTATGGACCAACTGAGTAAGTGTCTGGTTGTTACCAAGCAGGTACCTGCTATAGGTAACAACCAGACGTTTACCAGTGTCCATAATGTGGCCCTAAGAAAAGTAAAGAGTATTGTATAACAGCAATAATACCAGAAATGTAAATTAATAGACAAGCTTACTATATGCAGTACCTTCGTAAATGGCCATTTAACCCAAGTGTACAAGTATATTTTCCTGTATTCAGTGCAGCATGTATTTATGGGAATTATCCCATGCTGTTATTTAATACTCTTTACTTTTCTTAGGTCCAAATTATGGACTCACTGGTAAACGTCTGGTTATATTAATGGGTAATTTATTTGGACACGAAAGGACAGGAGCTTTAACAAGATGCTCCTTAATGGTCTGAAATGCCTGAGCACAGCCATCATCTCAAGTAAACCTCGCATTTTTGCGAGGCAACGCTGTTAAAGGGGAAATGATGGATTAAAAATTGGAGACGAATCTCCTATACCACGACGCTATACCCAAGATTCGGCGTACCTCTGTTACAGTGGTTGGGGTTGGAATCTGCAGAATAGCTTCCACCTTTCCAGGATCGACCAGTAGACCTGCAGAAGTGACGACATAACTAAGATATTTAATGTGCCTATTCTGTAAATCGCCTTACATCACTGTAAATTTTAAAGCGCGTAAGTTTATATCGCGATGTATCATTTGAACTTACATTGAACGCCAAAACTCGTATTCTGTAATGCCTGGTGTAAATTACATAGTTACAGCGCTTCATTTATAGCGCTCCTAACATCGTAGTAATAAACGTAACCTAATATTTTTGTAATTTGACAATTTTTGAAGTTGAAATATTTTGGAATAAAGGTGTCATATCTTTACCGTCTATAGTTCTTCTGGTATAAATCAAATACAAAAAGCCTTTACGGAAACGCTGAACCAATTGATCCAATGAGGTAGGATTATCTTTGGATTGACCTGATCACAGTCTGTTTGTTTTGCTCCTTTCTTCAATGAACAGCTAGGTGATCGCGTTAATCCATTATAATCGGCTCAGCTTTTTTGTAAAGGCCTTGACCTTAGAGCAGGTAAAGGTAAAGAGCAGTAGTAACATGGAGTTGGAAAATGAAGCCGTTTTTTTCAGGTATTTTGGCACCAAAAAAATGGTGGTATAGGCAGTTCAATGCTTTACCTGTATTTTGGTGCCAAACACCTGCCAAAAACTTGGCTTCACTTTAGTTTCATAAGCAGAATGGCCTGTTCCTACTCCTTATGTCCGTAGGACAGCGCTTTACCTGCTCTAAGGCCTTGAGTGTTCCAAGACTATGGAAGAGCGTGCGGCTTCAAAATTGGTTCATATAGCCATCAAGAAACGCACAATCGACGAAGAATAGATTACAAGATAATCATACTCGAATGATTTCCTATTATGATGATGATGAAAGGCCGAATCTGTATTATTTCCGTAATTAATTCCATAATTAACTAATATCTCACACAAAACGTTTCTTTTTGCGATTTTGAGCAACAAAAAAAAATTTTTTTGTTGCATACCGTCAAAAATGTAACAGTATATCTCCATTTCCCGCGACGTATATTTACAGTAGGTGTAAGAATATTTTACAGCGCGATGTAAGTTACAGAATTCCTTTTTCGTTACATCCTTACAGCTCTCAAAGTTACATCCCTTACAGTACGTTACATCGCATATAGAATCGCACCATTATAGTTCCGATTTGCAAAACTGGCATTTATATTGATTGAGAGTGAGACCCGCATCAAAAATTCGGTTGATGACCTCACGAAGGACCCGCAAATGATCGTCAAAACTAGCTGTAAGAATGATGACGTCATCAAGATAAACGAAAACATGCTGCTCAAGATCCACTCCAACAACCTGATCAATGAGTCTCTGCCACATAGCCGGAGCATTAGTTAGCCCAGAAGGCATACGCTTGAAATGGTAGAGACCACGGGAAGGCACAGTGAAAGCTGTTAACAGACGAGACTCTGGAGCTATGGGGATTTGCGAATAGTCCAATAGTCCAAGGTACTGATGAACTTGGCATGACAGAGCTTATCGAGCGAGGCACTCACATAGGGGATTGGATAGGCATCGGGAATGGTTACCCGGTTTAAACTCCGATAATCGACGCAGAACCTCCAGTGACCAGACCAAGGAGAATCGGAAGACTCTATTATATCCTAGGCGATCATCTGCTCAAGCTCTGAGTGAACAATCTTCAACAGCGCAGGCGACAAAGGATAGTATCTCTGCTTAATTGGGGACGAATCCGTCTTTATTATGAACTGTACATGGTTGGTACTCCCAAGTTTGTCTCCCATCCGGAGAAATGTGTCACGCAAGAGAGTGTCAAGTCTTAGTCGTTGTTCGGAACTAAGAGTGTCGAGAGAATGAGGAGACATGATTTGATTGACGGCTTGAGAGTCGGTTCTAAAAGACCATTCACCGGAATAAAGATTGCAAATTATTCCCATTCTGACCCAAAAGTCAACTCCAAGGATCAGAGTGTGCGACAACAAAGGAATATCGAGTGTATCCATGAGTGCTAATCGGTTCTGAAGGATGAATGGCAGCTGAACTGATCCAATGGATGTGCATTGTTGGCCACTGCACTTGAGTCTCGGCATTAAGGGAACAAAGTGGTTTCAAGATCTTCCAACCAGGACCGCCCAAAATGATTCTAGAACAACCAGAATCGAGAAGGCCCATGAATAAGCGACCAAATATGGAAACCTGAGGAAAGGGTCTTGTGTCACCTTCTGCGTGAGCTAAAACGTAGTCCAAAATTGCAAGGTTGGTCGAATTTTGATCCTTCGCTATGAGGATGGAGGACGGCAAGTTGTTCGCAGGCGTCTCACACGTTTTTTGAGCAAGGAGGACAGTTTCGGGTAGTAACATCTTTGTGACCGCACTTGACAGATTGGTCACAATTCCTACACCTCGCGGGAGCAGAGTGAGGCACAAAGGCCAAATCGACAGGATTTTCGGCAGGTTGGCAACTGCCAAGAAGATCAACTTCATTACTGGGTTCCGAAATTGGGACAAGGGAATGATCAATAGCCGCACTGCCCGACGATAGGCCAGAGCGGGCTCTAGCAAGGATCTGTAATTTGTTGGAGGAAGCACGAATCGACGAACTGACGTTGCAGTTTAAATGTCCTCTAATCATATTAATTTAACAATAGCTCTAATATTAAATTTATTGTGCAAGTTGCAATTATTTCTCGATACTCGTTTCCAATCTATGGCCTTGTAAATAAAATCATCCTCAAAATAATTTCAATAGACAGATATCAAAGTGATAACGACCCATTTATTTAAATAAATATAGATTAGCCCGTCTATAAACGTACGTTACATTGCATAATTATGAGGTTACATAATTAAATATTAAGAGGATTCTTACATTTGGAACAAGCTATGCATTTGATCCATAGTTTTTGATGCAAAATCGGCTAAAAACCAGAGTTCCATAAATGTTATCTCCTTTTTAAGCGATTTTTCTTGGCAAATGGTCGAGATACCTTTGCACTTATTAGGTACCCTGAACTAGGTTTTGAGTCCGATTGCCCGAAAAATGAAATATCCTCTTAAAGTGACTCTTCAAATTTTAATCTCTAAGCCAAATCACTGTATAGTATAAGAACAGATTGCAAGGCAGTTCATTAAACGCGCTAGGTACTTACATCATGTTTTATTTAAAACTTGTTATCATTAAAATAATTTTTTTATGTATACTTATTGAAAATGTAAAAACTGCAAGAATACTAGGAGTGTTTCCAATAGCTGGTAAAAGTTTGAATATCCTTAGCAGCAGGTTAATGAAGGGACTGGCTGATGCTGGACATGATGTGACTGCAATCAGTGCTTTTGATAATAAGTTTAAAATTGCAAACAATGGATCGTATAGGAATGTGGTTTTGACTGGATTCAGCGAAAAATATGACGGTAATTTGCCTTTTTGTATTTTCAAGCCTAAGTAGTTCTATATTCATATTACTAAGAAGCCTAAATTAATTTTTATCTATTTTTTTAGCTCTTATGGATCAATCTGACTTCTATTCGTCAGTTGAAAAAAATTCCCTATGGGCATCCTATGAGATCCATGAAATGCTCATCTCTTTTTACAACGAAACATTCAGACATCCAAATGTTCAAAATTTTTTGAAAGAAGATCAGACATTCGATTTGGTCATTATTGAGTGTCTGTGGAGCGACTCTCTTCTAGTATTTCAAGAAATCTACAATTGCCCCTTAGCAATTTTCGTCCATACCGGAGGTGTAAATCCATGGGCGTATGAAATGGTTGGAAACCCTTTGCCAATATCATATGTTCCACATTACTGGCTCTTAACAGATGGAGCAAATGCTTTAACCTTTTTTGAAAGGTTGCATAATTTGTTATTTTTTTTGTTTGATCATGTCCAGAACTATTTTATATCATGGCCCGATCATAATGAAATACTGAAATCAGTATTACCAAACTTAAAAACAGATGTAGCTAAGCTCTATTATGGTACTCCTTCACTGATACTACTTGGAACTCACAATAGCTTAAGGCAACCAGTACCCATGGCACCAAATATGATCGAAATTGGTGGATTCCATATTAACCCACCAAAATCTCTACCTAATGATTTGCAAGAGTTTTTGGATAATGCGAAAGAGGGGGTTATTTATTTCAGCATGGGATCTCATTTACTAAGCAAGAGCTTCAGTGAAGAGAAAAAGAAGTTATTTTTGAACGCATTTCGGAAGTTGAAAGTTAAAGTTTTATGGAAGTTTGAAGATGAAGTATTACCTGGAAAACCTGATAATGTTTTTATCAAGAAATGGGTTCCACAACAGGATATTTTAGGTAAGGACATTTGAATATAATCGAAAACGCTTAAAAGCTCATTAATTCACACACATCATAATTGGTTATTTAAATGAAAGGCAACAATGAATATTCACATACCTATACCCTTAATATCTATGATTTTTGTGTGTGAATGTGCCTTGTGAATGAGTACCTATAAGCAGAATAAATATTTTGTGCCCAATTTTTAGCTCACCCGAATGTGAAACTATTCATTACTCATGGAGGCTATGGTAGTACCTTAGAAACTGTGTATCATGGAGTTCCAACGTTAGTAATCCCAGTATTTTTCGACCAATTCACCAACGCAAACAGAGCAGTACTGAAAGGATATGGCCTTAAATTATCTTTCAACGATCCAAACTTTACCGAAGAAGTATTTTCAGCTAAGATAGAAGAATTAATTAGTAATCCTAAATATATGCGGCAAGCAAAATATGTGTCGCAAGTGTTCCATGACAGACCCATGAAACCATTAGAAACTTTGGTGTATTGGGTTGAGTATGTGATAAGGCATAAAGGGGCTGATCATTTGAAGCTAGGTGGAGCTCAATTGCCATGGTATAAGTTTTACATGGTTGATGTTATTGTGTTCTTAGTATTAATTATTTTAGCAACACCTTATTTAATGATAAAAACTTTTAAAAAGATTGTTTGTAAAAGTAAAGCTAGAAAACAAAAAAAGAATTGACGGAATTATTTTGTAATTTTATATTTTTTGTGATATTTTTGTTTATTATTATAATTCTATTAATGAAATTCAGCCTGTTTCATTCGTATTCATTCCTGTATATTTTGGTGGTGCCTGTATTCAATTGCCGGTTATGCGTTTTGTTTTGATTCATTTGACAGCATCCGGAATTATGGCTCTCCTGTTAAGGTATTCAGTATTTCTTTAGTTTTAGGTTCTACATTACAGGCTGAAGACACCGATCAAATATTTTCCTTTTGACACATATTGGATTACACCATTTATAAATCTAATTTAACTTGTTCCATGCCATCCACAAGAGATTTAATTTTGGTCTATGAAATCGTATGTTTGATTGTCCTTGTTCATTTTAACTTTGTGATCCAGGATCTTGTATGCAGGGACAACTTTAGAACACGACTCTGATCTGAACATTAAGTCTTGATCTAGTCGAGTACCCATCAGCAAGTTGAGAAACAAAATGAGATTATACTTGACAAGGTTTGGAGTTAGCCATACAAAATTCTTGGGTACACAAAGATGGAAAGTTGGATCATGGTACTTTTCTGAAGAGACTCGCCTGAAAGCATTTGTGGAAACTGACTCACTCCAGCGAAAATATCCGTTAAAGACTTGATAGAATTGGTAACATTGTAACAACTATAGGAATCGATTTGGTTTTACTTTTTGCATAAAATGAACATGGCAGTGAATAAACTGTATTCAATTTCCGGTTATGCGTTTTGCTTTGATCCTTATGGCAGCATCGGGAATTATAGCTCTGTGTGCAAGTCTGTATATTATACGCAAAAGACACTGGACCAAATATTTTCCTTTTGAAACATGTTGAATTACACCATTTATAAAACGTAGTTTGACTTCTATTCCATCCATGAGAGACTTTGTTTTTGTCTATCAACTCTTATGTTTGATTGTCCTGGTGCATTTTAACCTTGCGATCCAGGATCTTGTATGCAGGGACAACTTTAAAACACGACTCTGATCTGAACATTGAATCATGATCTAGTCAAGTACCTATCAGCAAGTTAAGAAACAAAATGAGATTACTTGACAAGGTTTGGAGTTAGCCGTACAAAATTCCTGGGTAGGTACACAAAGATGGAAAGTTGGATCATAATATTTTTCTAAAGAGGCTCGCTGATAGCATTTTTGGAAACTGACTCACTCCAGCGAAAATATCTGTTAGAGACTTGATAGAATTGGTATAACATTGTAATAAACAGGAATCGAATTGGTTTTACTTTCTGCATAAAATGAACAGTAGATATACCTACATTAGAAAATAATTGTTTCTTTATATTACACCTACATCTAATAATTTTATCGCTATTCCATAACATGGAAATTAGGCATTAGATAAAAACAACAGACTTTATGCATAATTATTGTAGCGGTGCGCTTTCGCCATGATGTACAGAATCTAACTTGAAATCTAGAAAATACTGCCCTATTCGGGCAAAGATATTATCGCGTTTATTCTGGATTTTACAAGAATGGATCACAGATATATAAAGGCCGGTATTAGTTAGTAGTTTTAAGTTTAAGATTGACTGTGAAACGTTTTAGACAGTAATTATTGTTATAAGAGTTGTAAAAAGTTGTTTGAGTTAATAAGTGAAGTAATTAGTGTCAGAGTGTGTAGTAACGTGGAATAAATAATTATTGTTGTGTTAATTGGACTTTCATTATGGAATAAACGGACCCAAGATTTCTGTCACGCACCCCCCAGAGCCGTGACATTGATGTCAGAAGTGTGATATAATTCGAGGACTTCACATCCGATTGCGGAATAAGGGCGGACACTAGTGTGGACACTTAGTGAACACTCGTACAGTTAAGTCAGTTTCAGTCAGTTTAAGCAGTGACAATCACCAAAAGAGACAATCGATTGTGTAAATTTCTCCGGAAGTGACTGTATACCCGATTTTGACTGTGATAGTGAATTTTCAAGTAAGTTCTAGAAGATTCTATTCGGAAATCAAGGGAGATATCAAATTTGTGACTTTACAGACGTGTTTACTATGTCAATCGACACTCGGAAAAGATGTTTCAAGAAAATTCTAGAACATTCCAATCGAGCAAGTAATAAAATTTGTGACTTCACTGACGTGTTTGAAACTTCAATCAAAGACCCAAAAAGATATTTGAAGAGAGTTTGAAGGAAATTCCAGAACATTCTGTACATGCCTATTACGAGACAACAAGCAAAAATGGAAGAAAAAAAAATTGGAGAACTTCTGCGCAAAATGTTGGAACTTCAAGAAACCAAAGGACAACAAGAAAAACAAGACGAAGAAGCAGTTAGAAATACAGTCCATCAATGCAGGTAGTGTTGGAGTATTCTCTAGTAGGAAGATAAAACCAATGATTTTTGACGGTTCTACGTCCTGGACCATGTATATCCGACAATTTGAAGCTGCTGCAAATACCAACGGATGGAACGATCAAGTAAATGCTAAAGCACTGATATAACGAGGTTCTAGGAGGACCTACCAATAGAATTACCAGCATCTAAGTCAGGCGTTAGAATTGCGCTTCGGAAATCATTACAGACAAGAAGTATTTAGAACTCAAGGTCAAGGTTATCAGGAATTCAAAAACCCGGCAAGAGTTTATTCGAAGCGGAAGTTAAAAGGTTAGTGAGTTTGGCATTTCCTGCAGCTGGGGAAGACATGCAGGAATGCAGTATCTGCGTTTATTGTGGATCTCAGAGATTCCAAGATCCAGGAAAACCTGAGCAGAATGTCTAAATACAGGAAAAGTAGCGAAGCAATCTTTGGTGCCTCACGACCTAGATACGAGCAGAATTTATTGAAGATTCAAAGGATAAATAGGTAATGGACAAAAGAAGATGGTAGCTTCGAGAATGTGATGAGTGAGTTCATGGAGAAAATGGGTAAACTATTACTAGAAGGTAGACAAACTTGCCTGGTGTATTTAGATGATGTCATGATCATGAGAAATTCATGATCATGACATGAACATCTCAATAAGAAAGAAGTCGTCGATATTGAAGCATAGACCAAGGATGGCGCTTTCCAACACTGGCTAAAAATCCAAGATCAGCGAAGAAATGTCGAAGTTATAACACAACAAAATTGGGCAAGTCCCACTTCATCTGCCGTTTAGTTTATATCTAATTTATTACGTAAAATTTGATATTATAATTTGACCTTATCTTCAATTTTAGTGCTTACTCATATGAAACTGGGCATGACAAACAACATTCCTGTTTTTCGCATGAAATCCGCAGGCTACACCGCATAATTTTTGTATTAAGTAGGTACCTAATTAATAAAATTTATAAATCTCGCGAATGTACAGGTAGTTGTATATTTTTCTATAATTTTTGTATTATGTGTTGTATATTTTTATCAATTTCTCGGTGAATTTTCATAGGATCTCATAGATGAAATTTATATTAGTTTTTGTACTTTATTAAATCTATTTGAAATCTCGATAGTTTATAATTTTTTCTTTGTCGAGCAAGTGCAAAGTCTAATTCGAACATTTTTATGTTTTGCAGAAATCCATTGTTAATTCAAAATCCTATTTGAAAACTTTTTACAATGCCTAAATTTAAGTTTATTCTATATTTTATTTATATAATGCAGTGCAGTGTCATTGACCTTTTTACCTAACCGAAAATGATCACAGGTCCCACTGGTAGTGTATCTGGGGCTATAATTTTCAATTGGAAAAAATAACCGAATACTAACGTTGCCTTGGTTCAGGTGCTTGGATTTTATTTTTCATGGCTTTATTATTATAATCTAATCACTCCAAGCCGAATTCTGGGTACACCACTGGAATCAAAATTGGTCGAATCTAGTCAAATAAATTCACTTGTAGCCCACAATTTCGAGCATAGTAAACTTAGTGAGCTACCAAAACAGTTCAAAATGTCAAGGCTCTTTTTGTTTTTACTTTTTGGTTGCGCTGAATTTGGGCAGCACGTTGAAAGTGCTAGAATTTTAGGAGTGTTTCCTGTAGCTGGCAAAAGTGTAAATATATTGTACAACAAATTAATGACAGGATTAGCTGATGCTGGACACGATGTTACAGTTATAAGTGCATTTGAGAATAAACGTAAAATTAAAAATGGATCCTTAACCGATGTGATACTTACAGGATTTGAGGAGAAATATGACGGTAATAATATTTATATTGTAGTAGAAATAAAAATTCAAAGAGCTACCTATTTCTAGTTCACTCAACTAACAAGATTTTTTTGTTGCAGTTTTGCTTGCCTCAATGGACATGTATAATACTCCCATCCAGAGTCCAATTTGGGCAAGTCATTACATGCAAAAAGTATTTCTTCACATCAACAATAATACTTTTTGGCACCCAAACGTGAGAAAATTTCTAAAAGAAAAAAACGAATTTGATTTAGTGATTTCGGAATATTTTTGGAACGACGCTCTTTCAGAATTTGCCGCAATTTATAATTGTCCATTGGTCATTTTTACTAGCATGGGTGGTGTGAATCCATGGCTAGGCCAAATGGTTGGTAATCCTATGCCTATATCCTACGTGCCTCACTTTCACGCCAATAAAGACGCTTTCAGAGATATGGGATTTTTCCCTAGATTACATAACTTCTTTTACTATTTATATGATCCAATTCACAATTATTTCGTCGGCTGGCCAGATCATAATGAGCTAATACGAGAAGCACTTAAAGATATTCCAGAGATTGCTAAAAACGTCCAAGATGTTGCTGAGCTTTACTATAACCCATCATTAATATTATTAGGATCTCATTCCAGTATACGTCAAGCTGTACCAGTAGCACCAAATGTTGTAGAAATTGGTGGGTTTCACATTGAACCTCCTAAAAAATTACCTAAAGACTTACAAGATTTCTTGGATGGAGCTACAGATGGAGTAATTTACTTTAGCATGGGTTCTCATTTAGAGAGCAAAAGCTTTAGCGAAGAAAAGAAAAAAATATTTTTGGAAGTATTTAGGAAAACAAAATTAAAAGTTTTGTGGAAATTTGAGGATGATCTATTGCCTGGAAAATCAGATAATGTCCTTATAAAAAAATGGTTACCACAAATGGATATTTTAGGTATGTTTTAACACTATATTATAATCTTTGTCTTATTTTAAATTCTTTAATTTTAGCCCATCCAAATGTGAAATTATTCCTCTCTCATGGCGGTTATGCCAGTACCTTAGAAACAGTTTACAATGGAAAACCATCACTTATGGTACCAGTATTAATCGATCAATTAGGCAATGCCCAAGAAGCAACACATCAAGGCTATGCTTTAACCATTCCGTATAACGACGAAAACTTTTCAGAAGCTACCCTTTCTTCTATGATCAATGAAATGGTGACTAATCCAAAATACGCGGAACGGGCCAAAAGTATTTCTGAAGTTTTCCATGATAGGCCTATGAAACCTTTGGATACTGCCATTTATTGGATAGAGTATGTGATCAGACATAAGGGTGCTGATCATTTGAAATTGGCAGGAAGATTGCTGCCCTGGTACAAGTTTTATATGGTTGATGTGCTTGTATTTTTGATCTCTGTAATCTTTATTGTGATTTATTTACCTATACGATTAGTTAAAGGATTATTTACACCTAAGAAATCTAGTAAGACTAAGGTGAAACGAAATTAGTGAATAAGTAGTTTTTTTTTGATAAATGATTTTGATATGAAATTGAGTGTTTTATTTGGATTTCTAATTGGACCCATAGGAGTATCAGTTTATTTAATTTGAAGTTATCTTCTCCAGGTCATAGGCGTATCCAGGGGGAGGGGGCTGCCGGGCTGCAGCCCCCCCCAAGGCAAGTCTAGACGTTTTTTTTTTTCAGCGCATTTTATGTGACGTACAATTTTTGTAAAAAAAATAAAAATAAAATGTATTTCTTTCTATAATAAGGTTTTCCTATGGCGGGCGCCTAATGCAGCAAGGGAATCAGTGCTTCACCCTAATCATCTTGAATGTCTGGAATACTTTCCTTCCTGAGGAAAGAAGGGGCTCCGTGTACGAAATGTCTCCTCTCACAAAAAAAAAGCGAATAAGTAGCCCAATACGAACATTTTTATCGCCCCGCATAATAGTTATATTTATGTATCAAGGGAATTATGGGGGTGTTTATACCCCAGGGCAAATTTTGTGTCCCGAGGGACACCAATTGCCCGTGGGTATTAACACCTGATAATTCACGTGCTACATAGATAATTTTGATGAGGTTTCGTCTCCTTGATACATAATTAGATTGATTCTTGGGTATAGGAAAGTTTGGTGAGGAATTAAAACAATTTTTCTCCTGGCAACGTTTCGTAACCTTTAATTGTTACTTTTTCAAGCCTCAGAAACTAGTTTTACAACCGTGGATGTTCATTGAGTATAATAATTCGGAATCGGCATCCACAAAATTTGCTTATAGGTGTCAAAGGCTGATTAAAGAATGCCGATTCCGAATTATTATACTCAATGAACATCCACGGTTGTAAAACTAGTTTCTGACGCTTGAAAAAGTTACAATTAAAGGTTACGAAACGTTGTCAGGAGAAAAATTATTTTATTTACGACTAATGTATAATGTAAGAATTATACTTGTGATTTTGGCAGTATAATGACGTATGTTATTCCTCCCGGGAATAATGACGAGTAGCGGGATTAATGGTCATTATTCCTCGAAAGTGTCACTGTCAAACGTGTAGTGCTTGTGGATTTCTATTGAAAATTGTGATGGATGAAATTTGTTCATCAAAAATCTCAAATAAATTTATTTGCCGTAAATAAAGTAGAGTATACTACTCGCAATAATGGCTATTATTCCCTCGGATTGTTACTCCCTCGCCGCTAACGCGGCTCAGTTCGTAAATATTCCTCGGGAATAATAGCTATCATTATTGACTCGTGGTATAATCTACTATTAATTCCTAACCAAACTTTCCTATACTCAAGAATCAATCTAAATAGATAATTTTATTTCCTACTGAATTTACTATATTTTGTCCATTTTTATAAAGGAATAAACTATAAACCAAAATTTCTATTTTTTGTCAAAGTTTCACCTATTCAAGGTAAAAGCGGGAGTTATGGAAATCCTTAACTCCCTTGGGAGTTATGATATCCTTAAGACCCTGTTTATGATTATCGTAACCAAGGTATTATATGGTTATAATAGTTCAGTAGGAAATAAAAGAATAAGCGCGTAACATTTGCGTATGTTACAGGTGAATTCTGACAAAAATAGGAAACTTTCAAATTTTCAAATTAATCTGTTAGTCATTTTGATACCATCAGTATACTTTCTTCCCAAACAACTCTAATTTTCGAAAATAAAAAAATAAAAAGATTTGAAAATCGAATTTTTAAACTGCTGTGAAAACGTGGGATAGGAAAGGGACATCACTTTCCTAAACATGTGAGGATGCCGAATTTGTCATTAGTAAACCATTCCCAAACATGGCTGACATAAAACTTGTCACAATAACCTATGACCTATTTTTGTCCTTTACTACTTCATAAAAAAAGAAAGGACAGGTATAATCGTTGAACTCTAGTGAAACATTTCGGCATTTCTACATGTGGAAACAAGCGCATGAATATATTGCCTAATAAGAGGCAAGTGAAAATTGTATTGTGCGCAGCGTTTTTTTTTTTTTTTTTTGTTCAACACTTTTTGTTAACAGAGCCCCCCCCAAACCAAAATCCTGGATACGCCAATGCTCCAGGTCCCCCAGTCTCAATATATCGTTTTAGAACGTCTTTCTTCCTTGTCCGACACCTAATTTCCATCCTCTTCTATCGTCGCAATCCTCTGACGAGAGATTTCTTTCACTCATGTACTTTTGTCATTCCAGATTTGGTCTTCCTCGTTTTCTTCTACCTGTTGGTTGTCAATGCAACATTTTTCTGGGCCACCTGTCATTTGGCATTCGTTCTACGTGTCCGTACCAGGTAAGTTGTTTCCTTTCAATGTTTTGAACTATCGTGTTTTATATTGTCATTCCTTATTCTGTCTCTTCGTGAGATTCGCATGGATCTTCTATTAGCATCCATTTCAACTGCTTCCACTTTTTTCTTTTGTCTGTCTGTAATTCTCCAAGTCTCGGCTCCACATAGAAGGCTGCTCTTTATCATTGTTTCGTATATTGAATTTTCTCTTCTTTGTTATTTCCTTGCTCCCTAATATTCCATTTAGGCATCCTATTACTTTTTTAGCTTTACTATTCGCTTTTCTATTTCTTTCACGTCTGTTCCAGTGTTGTCGAATGTGATACCTAGATACTCATATTCTTGACATTGCAGAATTTCCTGACCATCGTCCACTTCCAAAGTTTCTGTTCTAGGTGCCTACACAAAGATATTTTGTTTTATTTATATTAACTCTCAGGCCCCATTCTTGATACTCTTCTATCAACTTTCCAATCATATATTGCATGTCCTCTTTGTCACTGGCCACTTTGACCTGATCATCTGCAAACTGAAGAACAGGCACCTATTAGTTATCTCTATACCTATTCCATGGGTCTTCCTCTTCCAATTTTTCAGTGCTACTACTACGTATATTTTAAGAAGCGTAGGAGAGATACAACATCCTTGACGTAGTCCTTCATTCACTATAAATGTGTGAGTTTTTTACCTATCTTAATTCTTGATTTTGAGTCTTTATATAGTTCTTTCAGTGCTGTTATATAGGTGTGATTGATGTTTCTAATACCTTCCAGAGTCTGGATACTGGGACAGTATCGTATGCTTTTTGTAGGTCCACAAATGTGAGATGGGTTTCCAAATGTCTAGCAGATTTCTTTTCTATGACTTGTTTTAGGCAAATTACGTTGTTCGTACCTGATCTTCCTGCTCTAAAGCCGCACTGCTTCTCTTCTTCTTGCTCTTTATAATCGTCTTCAATGAGATCACGCAGGATTCTACCGTACTTATAGTATGCTTGTGACCGATATGCCCTGATAGTTATTGCAATTCAGTTTATTTCCTTTTTTCTGAATGGATGATATAAAAGCTGTTTTCCAGTCTTATGGAACAGGATGTTCATTTAGGCATTTATTGATAATACATGTCAAACCTTTAGAGAGCATCTCAGTTCTTTATTTCAGCATTTCTGAGTATATCCCTTCTGAGCCGCTAACTTTACCTGTCTTAAGATTCTCAACAGTCTTTTTTATTGTTTCTTCAGATATCTCAACTACTTCTCCATGTACTTCAAAATGTCTTGGAGAATCTAATATATATTCCGGTCTACTTTCTTCTTTCTTATAATAGACCTTTGTAATGTTCGATTCATTGCTCTGGTTTAATAATCTGAATATTAGCTCTGCTATTTCCTGGGTTTTTGACATTTGATGTAAATTTCCATACCTCCGAGCATTTCCTTCCTCCTATGTAGGTGTTAATTTCTTCACATTTCTTATCCCTTAACTCGTTCTTAGCTATAGTGATGCACGTTTTTAGTTGCCTTTTTGTGTCTTTATAAACTTCAAGATCTTGTGCATTTTTTGTTGTAAGCCATTTCAGATATTTTTGCTTCTTCTCTTGGACTAATAGCTCATCGTTCCACCAGTATTTCTTGTTGGTATTTTTTTCCTCCGTTCCTATTGCTTCTTGGGTGGCTTCTATTAGACTCCTTATAATGTTCTCATAGAGTTTATTGAAGGTAAATTCTTCAGGGTTCAATAGTTTGCTGTCGAGTCGCCTCTGATATAGAAATACAGTGCTGTCATCTCTAAAACTGACAAAATTGTACTTTGTTGTATCCACTGTGTCCGTGTTTTGTTCCTCTGGGTTCTCGTTTGTTTTCCTAAATTGCAACTTTATTTTGGCTCTTACAAAAAAATTATCTGACCCGCAAGTTATTCCTCTTAGGACTCTTACGTCGTTTATCTCTAGGTTTGTTTTTTGTTTGCTTATCACATAGTCAATATTAGTTTTCATCAGGTTATGGGTATTCTGTATCCATGTGTAGCGGTGAATATCTTTGGTTGAAAAATCCATTGTTTATTCTAAGATTGTGAGGCTCACAGAGATCTATGAGCCTTTGGCCATTATCATTGATTATTTATTCTCCGAATGGTCCTACAACTGGGCTATTGTTCGTCCTTCCCGTTCTTCCATTGAAATCCCCTATCATTATGATTTCTCTATTTCTTCCAATATCTACTAGGATTTCATCCAATTTGTCAAAGAACTCCTGCTTATTGCCGACTTTTTCGTCCTCTGATGGAGCGTAGGCTGCTATAATGGTGATGTTATAGCCATGTAGTTTCAAGTTGACCGTTAGGATATTTTCATCTGCAGCTTGTTTTTCCCGTTTTTCCTTATCAGTATGGATACCCCTCTAGCTGCTCTCATGTCCTTTGGCCAGGGAAATACAAAAGTGTATTTGTGAGAGAAGACTATTTTTAGGTATTTTAGACTAGAAATGAATATAGGATTGTAGGAATCACTCCCAGTCTCCTCCTCTATGGAGGGCTGCAGAAATAAAAACCTTTTAGCAATACATTGAAACAATAAAACTTACTCATTGAACAAAAAGTATTAAAGTTTAAAACCCTACATTAATCCTTTCAAAACCCATTAAGAGTATGCATTGCGATATATGGTGTCCATTATCGTAAAAAGCTATGATCCAATATTAATGACGAAACAATAAAAGCTAGTTTATGGGCCAACAATTGTGAAAATAATTTATAGGAAACTACAGGATTTATTCAAAGATAATATGCGTATAGCTGACTAAAACTAATGTTTCTTGTTGATCCAAACAAAAACGTCGATGACAACGAAACTTATCCGAAAATGAATATGAATCGTACGGCATGGACATTAAAAGAAAAATTATTCCAGAGGCAGCAAACGGTTTAATCCAAATTTATGGTTCGTGTTCAAACTTTCACGAGCTGAAAGGATATTAAATGTTTCGACGCGTTCTCGTAAATTACGAGCAGATTGCAATTACTTTGTCTTTTTAAATTGTGTCTGTGTCTGGTTCCGCGAAAAACTTTTATAATTTCATTTAGCTAATAGTGTTTCCGGAGAAAACTTTTTTGCTTTGGTGAGTACATAAATTATTTAAAACTCGATAGGTGGAGGAGATTTTTCTGATGAGAAAATTTTAATTAGTTTTAATGAAAATTGGAATTGGATATTTTCTTCACGAAGTTCAATAAAGTAACTGATGAATTCACATAATTTAATATAGCTTGATCTTGCCTTGCTTTTCTAGCTTCATTGTTTTTCATCATTTCATTCTCCATATTCAAGGCCTCTAGTATTGATCTTTTTTTTCCCATCACATTTTCAGTTCCCATGGTTTGGTTTTTTTTTTTGAGGGACCAACCCAATGTTAGTTTTGGATCAGAGGTGGTCTTTCGTTCTTGCCCGTACCGTATTTTTGTTCCAAGTTTTTTCTATATATAACCGTATCAATCCATTCTTACAGCTTTAATTTTATTTCAATATGTTTCTGCGAGTTTCCATGTTTCAACCACACTATGGATACTACTTATGTTTTCATCCATATACGATTAATAACTAAATAATAAAAACAAATTCGAAATTTAAATCGCACCCAGGCTTCAAACATTCCAAACGTTGTAGTTTCAAGTTGCCCAAGAGTTGTACAATGTTGCATGCGAGCCAACAAGCTAATCTAAAAGTTAGTTGAAATTCTGGACATAGCATTATCTTTGGGAGGAACGTGAAACCAATCTGAAATTCGGGATTGGCCATGTCTCTGTTCTACGCTTCTGGCGATAATTGAACGGTAACATTAGGTGCCAGAAATTCTATTTCGACAACTAATTGGTTTACGTGATACCGATTTTTACTGTTTATACTATTGCTATACTATGATATTTAAATACATTATCCTTGTAGTAAATATTGTCACGACTCTGGCTTGCGTAACAGAAATCTTGAGTTCGTTTATTCCAAAAATCAAAGTCCAATTAACACAACGATAATTTATTCCACGTTACTCTGACATTAATACCTCACTAATTAACTTAAACAACTTAACTCCTTCTTTATATTTTATGCTAATGTATGCTCTATCAGAAACAAAATTGGAGAAATAGAAGCCACAATAAAATCAAGAACAAAATATGATGTCCTGTGTTTCACGGAGCACTGTATGATGCAAGAGGAGATAGAACATCTCAAAATCCTAGATTGGATCAAAATGGGATCATCCTTTTGCCGTAAGAACAGCAAACATGGTGGATCAACAATCATGTATATAACCCCCTATGGGAAACGAAGACACATGATGAGATTACAAGCCTGTCAGTAGCAGAAAATGTCGAAGTAAGTGCCACAGAGATAAAAAGATTGAACCTATTATTACTATTTACCGTCCACCTAATGGAGACTAATATATTTTTTCAATGTTACAGATAGTATCTTGGATGTGAGTCTAAGTCTTGTAAATCTTGAAAATCGAATGTGAAATAAATGTCATCCCTATTTTAAAAAATTAAAACCTAAAAATAGACCAATCTCTTTACCGTCCCATAACAAAAATAGGAATTGCAAAAATGTGCGACTTACTGAAGGATGAAACCTGTTCTTTCTTGGAAACCTACAATGCTGAAACGAGTACCACCAAATTCTTTCAGAGATTTCTATCATATCGAGACATTGCATTTCCAGTGACTAGACGACCAAAAAAAAAAAAACACCCAGGAACCCGGAGCTGAGTGGTTTGGAGAGGAAATACCTACAGATCCTGCGACATGAGCTAAGCACATTAAATGAAATGTGTTCAGAAACTGACTGTCCTGTGCTGCGGACAGAGAGAAACACACTGACGAACAGGTACCGAAATGAAATAGAAAACTCTAAAAAACAAGCAAATTCAAATTATATCCGTAATTCTGATAACATTGCATGGAATCTAATAAAAAAATAGGTATATGCCAAACAGTACTTCTAAATCAAATGCAAATATAAACCCAAATGAATGTAATGATTAATTTGCTGACATAGCTGAAAATCTTATTCATAATTTACCAGCAGCCGACACATCGCCAGTTCTGTATACGCAGCAGTAACCTGGGAGACCCAAACCCCTGCACTTTTCTTTCCACAGTGTAGGCCCATTCGAAGTCCTTCAGGCTCTAAATAACTCAACTAACCTTAGTGTAGTGCTATACAGGCACTTGGTGGGATTCTCTGTTATCCGCTAGCAAAAATGTTCAATAAATGTATCCAAGAAGGTGTTTACCCTGAAGAGCTCAAAATTAGTAAAACTGTGCCAATCTTTAAAAGTGGAGATAAAACATCACCATCAAATTACAGACCAATTTCTTTGATACCTGTCTTATCCAAGGTCCTTGAGGTTCTCTTGAAGGACCAACTTTACATACTTTGAGGGAAACAACTTATTCATATAGGAGCAGTTTGGGTTTAGAAAGGGCAGAACCACCACTGGGGCAATACTAACGCTCTGTGATTTCATAGTTGGGGGCTTTGAGGAGGGGCAGATTGTGTCCACCATCTTCTGTGACCTCTCCAAAGCCTTCGACTGTGTATCACATGATATCCTAATAGAAAAATTAAAATACTACAGGCTCTGTGAATTCAGCGTGAAACTGATATTTGGGTACCTTCCTCTCGGGACGTAGGCAGATCACGGAGATGGAGGGTAGGCGCTCAGAGGAGAGAGTCATAGCGCACGGCGTGGTTCAGGGATCGGTACTGGGCCCACTGTTGTTCCTTATATACATAAATGACCTTGCAGCTGCCCTATCCGGATGCCAGATTGCAGATTGTTATCTACGCGGACGATAATGGATTCTCCATAAAAACCAAAACACTGGCCTTTGCCAAAATGGAGATGACGAGACATGTCGAAACTGCTGTTGACTGGTTCAACTCCAATCTACTGAATGTCAACCAAAGTAAAACAGAACACATGATCTTCTCTCTCAAGAAACCTACAATTCAAGACAACCCAGAAAAAATCAAATTTTTAGGAATTACATTGGACGCGAAGCTGACTTTCGAGCAGCATGACAACATTATTTCAAAAAAACTTTGCTCCGCAATCTATGTTCTTCGTAATATATCGAAAATTGTAGACAAAGAAACATCAAAAATGGCATATTGTGGTCTATTTCATTCAGTGAGCGTCTATGGACTCCTAGCATGGGACACTCATGTCATGCCTCTCGCATCTTCGGTCTGCAGAGAAGAGCAGTTAGAATTGTAGCCGGCATCAAATACCGAGATGATGTCAAACCATCCTTTTGGGACCTAAAAATATTCACTCTTTCAGGACAATATATCCTAGAGTCTCTACTATATTTTCATAACAACTCTTCAAACTATACTGGTGCCGAAGAGGTCCATAATTACAACACTCGCCGACGTTATAACGTGCAGATTGACTTTTCACGCTTAAAAACCTCCTGGAGTGCAACGCGATATTATGCACCGGCATTTTTCAGTAAGTGCTTTTATTCAATAGAAGAATTTTTGCAATATCTGGTCACAGATTTGGATTTTTAACTAGTTTTAAATAGTCTTAACCATAGTTACTTAGTACTGTCCTTTTATAAACAATGTTTGAAAAATTTTATACAGATAATGTGATATACTTATACCCATTACCTGATATAGTATTTTAATAATTATAATAATTGTAAATGATTGTAACCTAGATTTAAGATTTTGATAACGCTATGAAACTCTGTTTTAAGTCTGAAATACTATATACAATCTATAACTCAACAAAATTTACTACTGTAAATCGTATCACAGTCAATCTTAAAACTAAAAATTGCTAACTAATACCGGCCTTTATATATATATATATCCGTAATCCATTCTTCATTCTTGTAAAATCCAGAATAAACGCGACAGCATTTTCGCGACAATATCCTTTCCACTTAAGTACATTTCACTGTTAAATTTCAAACAGTCCTCCCAAATTAACCAGCCAACTATTTCATCGAGTAGATAACGTTATAAACTCCTCTAGTACTATGGAATAGGTTATTAGCAACATACTCAAGTGGCAGGCTGGAGGGCTAAACTTTAGTTTTATCAGCAAAACAATTAAGAGAAATTAAATTGTACCCCCGATGATACGTGATATAATGTAACTCCCGTGAATAATTGGGATTGCCGGATCCTGCAGCTGCTACAAATTATCTTGTAACGACATAAGTTTCAAAGCTTTTGCCTAATTAAACCGTTTATGAAAGTCCAGGGGGCGGCAAATAAAATTACGAGCCTCGAATTACTGCGAGAATGGCGCATTTAAATTGGTGTTTTTACTATGATGTTTGGGTAAAATCAATAAATTGTACTAAAGTAATTTTGTTTTTCAGTGAACTTTATGCCGGGTATAACAAAAGCAGTTTCCAAATACCTACTAGAAAACTATAATTGGTGAATTCGAACTAACTTCTAGTTCATTGTAACTTAACTTGTAAGTACTTATTGTCGTTTTCAAACATTACTGGATTTCAAGTAAAGAAGTTTTCTACATAACAATTTCTCTCTCGCCGGAGTGTGTGTGGTAGAAAACTTTCAAATTTTAGAGTGGATTTCAATTCAAAGTTCAGTCTAGTTTAATTTCTGGCATATCGGGTTTTATCGCGACGAAATAGAACCTAGTGTATGGGGGCCCTTCAAAGTTGTATTTCCATAGAAACGCCCTTTAAATAAAACCAGCACGTCAGCTACATACGCTGTCATCAGCTTTTACCGCACGTCTCACAAAATCTGACATGTGTTTCCAGCCCATAGTTGTTTAGCGAATAGTGTGTCGAAACAAAAAAAAAACCTTTTGAGATAAAAAAATGAGCACCCCATCGACGGAAAAAGATGCCGGCGTTAAGGCTGTGGGTGAAACAGAAACCGAAGAAAATGAAAGTCTCCTGGAGAAATGTTGGGTGGAAGAGTATAAGGGAGATAGTAGAAAGTGGCTGATTAGGGATGCTTCTTCGAAATTGCCGCACGGTTTATTATGTTCCACAATGAAAGAGAGCTACCCGTGCCCCGTTCAGGAAAAATCCAATGAAAACGATATGGGTGAGGGTTAAATTACTTATGCCTAAAAGCACTTTTTATTATTATTTGCGTCTTGGAGCTTTTTTTGGAAATATACTTTTTGTATATGAAAATAATCAGCATTTACTTATTGCTTATAGGAATAAAAAAGCGGCTACTTTTGAAGAAATTTTTTGAGGAAGCGGCTGAAGAAGTGATAAAAGAACGTGAAGATATACATAAAAAACGCGACTGGTGTACAGAATACCATACAAATTTTAAAGCAGATGGATTTAAAGTTGAGGACAAATTATCCAGAAATACAGAGGTGATTAGAACCTTTGAATATTTTAAGTTAATATAGTAGGTAGATTATATTATATACATTTTTATTTTCTAGAATATCCAGAAGTATCCGTTATACTCTTCAGCTCCAGTGTCATACTACTCTTTCAATCAAAAGAAAAATCCCAAAGAAGTACTGCACGGTTTAACGAGAATAACAGATCAGCAAAAAATATTCAAAAGAAATGGGCAATTTACGAAACCCATAACCGAGTCTCTGGATTTTATTGAATTATAAAAACATCTTTTGTATAAAGTTTTTACAATAAAAATGTCGACTGACCTCTGTTGAAAATCTTATATTCACTAATAATCATGTTTAAATTATCTAAAAAAATGCCGAAATTTTGCAGGACACATGGAAAACTCTTATTTGAAAACAAAACTGTAAATGATGTCTTCTTACAAAGCGTTGAGTCTAAATTGGCCAAGTTATAAAAAAAATCTACCTACATGAAAATAAGCTCCAGTTGGGTTAGCATGCTCACAAAATTATCCAAACTAAGTATATAGTTTAAGCTGAGGGGTGGTTAACTCCTCAAAATATGTATACAGATTTCAAATCTTCATTGATTTTGTAGGATTTTGAGGATTTTGAGGATTTTGAAAATCTTCACATGATTTTACAGGATTTTAAAAGATTTTAGGTGATTTTGGAGCATTTTAGGGAAATGAGAAGAGTTTTTAGATCGTAAAGGATTTTTAGAGATTTTAAGGGATTTTTGGAAATTTTGAAGAAATTTTTTTTAGGAATACATATTAATGATTTTATAAGATTTTGCCGGATTTTTTTTGTTCTAATAAAATTTTGTGTGATTTTGTGAAATTTTATGCGATTTTAAATGATTTTTAAGGGATTTTGTGAGGTTTTGTTAAATTTTTAAAGATTTCCAGAGATTTTAAATATACCTTACAAGTGTTTCTGGACTTGTACACCGATTTTGACCAAACAACCGCTCCGAGGTTTAGTTAACTCTATAAAATAATGAACACATAGGTATTTTAAATCTTAATTGATTTAGTAGGATTTTGGGAATTTTGAAAATCTTTACACGATTTTACAGGAGTTTAGAAGATTTTAGATTTTCAAAATTTTAGGTGATTCTGGAGCATTTTAGAAGTTTTTGAAAAGTTTTTAGAAATTCTTATTTTTAATTCAAATGACAAATTTAAATGAAAAAAACGGAAATTCCTAGACATTTTACTATAAAATTTCATAATACTTTTCCGAATTTCATCATAGGATTCTATGGAATTCCACCATAAAACTTAATGGAATTCTTGCACAAAAATTCCTCGGAATTACACTACTTATTAGATTTCATGAATTTCTTCGCCATTACACTAAAATTTCAAGTTATTCCATAGAAATTCTGCGAAAATTTTAGTCAATTCCATAGAAATTCTTTAGAAATTTTGAAATAGTAGTCCATGTCTCACAGTGAAGAGAATAGTTAAAGAACTGGAGTAAAACACACAGTCTATCTTCACTCTGTGAAGATAGACTGTGTGTTTTACTCCAGTTCTTTAATTCTTTAGAATTTCACCAGAAGATTTTACGGATTTCTTCGAAATTCCATTCAAGTGATAAATTTGAATGGAAAAACGGAAATTCCTAAAAATTTTACTATAAGATTTCATATTTTTCTAAATTTTACCATAAGATTTCATGGAAACCACAATAAAATTCAATGGAATTCTTGAACATAAATTCCTGGGAATTACACTGTGAAATTTCATGAGATTCTTCGGAACTCCACTAAAATTTCAAGTTATTCCATAAAAATTCCGCGAAAATTTTAAGTAATTCCATAGAAATTCCTTAACATTTCACCAGAAGATTTTATGGAATTCTAGGACAATTTTTTTTCAAAATTACAGCATAGGATTTCATGAAATTCCTCGGAATTCCACTAAAATTTCAATTTCCAAATTCCAGAATTTTTTGTTTTAACTTTACTGAAATTCCCCAAAATTTCACTAAATAAATATCCTGGAAGTCCACAAAATTTTCATAAAATTCTTCGGAATTTCTTAAAAATTCCTTGGAATTTACTAAAATTTTATGAGAATATTTTGAAATTCCACGTTCATAGCCGAAGATTTCTCGGAAGTCCAATGAAACTTCAAGGAATATTTCAAAATTTCATTTATTTTCATAAGAATTTTTCGGAATTTCACTAAAATTGTCTTGTACTAGCCAGAAATTTCAGGGAATATTAATGAAACTTCAAGTAATTTCTTGAAAATTTACCGAAATATATTGAAATTTCATGTCATTACATGGTAATTTTTCGGAATATCACCGAAATTCCATGTTTTTAGCCGGAAATTCATCGGCATTCCACTTGTGGAATTTTCTGAAATTTTACTAAAATTCAGTAAGAACTGAAATTTTATGATGGAAATTTCGGTGTTATTTCATATAATTGTTTAGAATTCCTCCATGCAATTCATTTAAGATTTCGTGTAATTCGATCGGAATTTCTCTGAAATTTCATGTAATTCGAGAGACTTTAACAGATTTTTGGAGATTCCAAAGAATTTTTGGGAATTTCAAAGGAAATATTTTTTAGGAATGTTAATGATTTTATAAGATTTTGCAGGATTTTTTTGGTTTTGATGAAATTTTGTTACATTTTTAAGGATCTTATGAGATTTTCTGGGATTTTGACCAACTTCTACATGGATTTTGACCAGTTAATCTTAGTTATTTTTTTGGTTTAGTTATTTTTCAGTACCTATCACTTTTTGTATTTGAGCTTTTAGTAGGTAATTAGCCTTATTATGCATACAAGCAACTAAAAACTAGGCCATCTACTTATTCAAAGAGATTTATTCAATAACCAGGTACCTACTTAGCTTTCATTGCATTTCTCAGAATGTTCTAGTATCTAACTTTTCCCAGCTCTAGCCAAAACTCACATATTTGAACAGTTTTAATTTGTATAGAGACTTCGCACTTTTCTGAAATAAATCAAAACGTTCGGTTGGTTCCTGATTGCACCATCACTACTCGCGTTTAATTTAAACTGCGAAAATAGGTACTTTTGATCATCTTATTTTAATTCTTGTTCAGGTATTTACAAACTGTATATGATTATTTCAATTCGTCTGTATGTTAACGCCTTCCTAAAAATAAAAAAAAACTTGTACTTATTATCCATTTACATTAACAGGTATGAGCTTACCCCAATCAGTAATACATAAAATAGATCCACGAGCTGTTTTCACAGGTCTCTTGCCCTCAGGACAACTGGGAGGTACGTTAAATATATTTCCTTCCTTTGCTTTCTTGAATTTATAGGCACCTCCCTCAACAGCGGTGCAAATCAGAACAATCAAAACTACCAGAATTAAAGTACTTTTTCCAGACATATTGACTGTATAACAAGAATAAATAAATACAGCCAGTTGTTAGTACAATGGCTAATCATTCTGCATATCATCATTTAAAATAGATGGGTCAGTGTAGGTCAATATGTTGATTTATATCGTATAAATTTGCGCAGGAGCTAATAGTAATCCTTTCTTGGAAGTAAATCCATTTTTCTTTGAAAAAAACCTGTTTTGTTGCATTATATTTTTACAATATTAGATTTATTGTTTACTCCGATCCAAATTACTAGTTTGTATTGAATAGGCTATAACTATATTCTTAGTTGGAACATTAAACCTAGCCTGTGCGAAACTACAATTATCCCTTAATACAGGGGACTATTCCATTTCCCAAGGCATACTCGAGCAATGAATACGTTATACTCAAAGCATAATTACAGCGGCTGAATTTGCCTTTTATTATGTTTCTGGCCATTATTGCACAGGGATGTCATTAAATATACCCTTAGTTCTAACAATGATGCTACTATTAAAGTGTTTACCTACCCTGGGGGTGGTTGGACAGGGTCAATCTTATATATCTGTAATTAGTGTATTGCTCTAGCTAGAGCTTTGATTGGAATATTTTGAATTCAGTTAGAATGTTGATATTTGGTTTATATGCTCTATTATTCACAAATGGTTTATTTGTTACACAAAAAACAACAATATAGCTTTTGAGAGTATTTTTAAGGGATATTTTTTCTAATTATTACTGATCAATTCCTAGCTGCAGATCTCAGTGTCTTCAGCAAATTTTTACCGCAATACAAGAACAGTATTTAGCAACAAGAACATATAAGAACATTAAATAGAGTAACCTGCAAAAGTGGAGAAACAAGATGATTGCTTGGCATCAGAATAGAAAAACCAAGAGAAAATTGGGCAACATATATTTACAATCAAGAAATAAGCTGGCCAGTGACTTCCTTGGAATCAATTAACATCATTTTCTGGGAAATTAAAATTAACCCTAAGCTCTTTTCAATAGTGAATTTTTTATTGGCTTGAAAACGATTGAAGATACAATAATGAGTCACTTCAAGGCCACAAAACTGAAAAATAACTTTATAATTAAATCCTGCCTAAGGATATTTACATTTATTCAAATAATTACCACAATTCTACAATCAATAAAAATTCTCTCAAACAGCAAATTGCATATTAACTATCTTTTTCATGTCCTTGTAACTTGAATGTACATAATATTCTGAAATCGACGGATTGTGGAATTTATCAGCTTCAGGTCCAACAAAAACAGGTTCTCCATACCAGGTGCCTACTTTCCATCCTGGAACGTTCTTCATTAGTTCCCTCTCTTCATCTCTGTTGCGTCTGAGTTGTTTCAAAAATGCTCTGTCTCTTTCAGCCAGCAGCATCGGGTATATGGCTAAGCTGCCTCCTTTTACTTCCAGTTCTCTCCTGAACACAGCTCCGTAGTTTAGGTAGTAGATGTAGGCTGCTCCAGCAGTCATTCCTACGTAGCCTCCAATTATTGCTGCACCTATAAATTAAGTTGGTTCATGATTGTGATTAAAAGTTATATTATTGCAGAGCTGAGAAAGGTATGAATAAGTAGCACTAGCTACTCAAAAATTCAACTATGTAGTTGAGTTATCAAGCAAAAACAGAACCATTAAATTGCAGTGGGAAATTCACCAAAAGTGACCAATTACTTTTGGAAAGTAATTTAATGAGATTAACTACTGTATGTTGAGGGTAGTCTAATTTGGAAAACGTCAGTTTCTGAAGGAGATACATAAAAATAGACCCCTCACTCTGAGGCTCAAATTTCATGAAATTTTGATTGGTGCAAACCGCATTTTGATATCCTCACCGTTTTGACGCTAGAGGGCGTTTCTCGATTTTAAGGAATACTGTGAAACCGTCATAACTTCTTTGTTTATGGAAATAATTGATTTTTGTTTCAACCTCGGTTTAAACTTTCTGAAGGAACTTTTTCAAGCAGAATCCACTTAAGTACTAACTTTTTTTTCTATTTGGTCCCAAATTTAAGATATTGACCAAAGTCCTTTTTTTATTAGAACAACCTTATATAGGTATAACTCATGGATAGCTCTGTTTGTGTTGATTTCAATGATATCAGGCTTAAAAGGTTTATCTCCAACAGTTTTCGATGGAAAAAATATATCTATTTTAGTCATAATAAACAATGTTTTAGAAAGAGACCATTCTCATTTTCCATTTTCCATAAAGTCCTTCTCTAACACATTGTTCCTTATGACAAAAACAGGTATAATTTTTTTTTCTCGAAAACTGTTAGAGATGAACCTATTGCGAACTTTACATCATTGAAATCGGCAAAAACAGAGCTATCCAATAAGATATTAATATACAGGGTGTCCCACGACATTTTTCCCAGGTAATAACTTCGGAATGCCTCATCCAATATTATTGAAATTTTGAGGATCTGGGTAACTTTTCGTACCGCTTCTACCATTGTAATCCAATTTCAGCACATTTGCTTGAATTTCGTCAAGTGACATCAACTTTTGAATCTTGAATGTAACTCATGGTATATTATGGCATTTTTCGTTAAAAAATTAAATTACAAAAAAATCGGCAATGCCATATTTGTTAAGGCTTCGTTGAAAAAAATGATAAAAAATTATACAGTGGAACATATTGATGATGCGTTCTGAAGTTATCATTTGGGAAAAACCTCGTGGGACACCCTGTATAGGGTGTCCTATTAAAAAAGATCGGACTTCAGTCAATATCTCAAATTCAGGGCCAAATAGAAGAAAACTGAGAATGTCACTGGAGTCTGCTTGAAATACTCAGTACTTTTGGATAGTTTTTACAGAAATTAATTGTTGTTTTAAACAAGAAAGTTACTTATATAGCTTTCACAGTTGTGGTATTGGTCAACATTAACAAACATCCTCTAGCGGCAAAACGGTTGAAGATAACCAAATGCGATTTGCACCAAACAAAATTTCATGAAAATTGAGCCTTAGAGTGGGTGATTCATTTTTTTGTATCTCGCTGAGAAATGGACGTTTTCCAAGGTTGTTTGAAAAAGGTAGGTTGCCTGCAAGGTTGCTAAAATTGATGGGTCATCTGGTAATGAGTATGTAACTTGATGAGGCATCTGGGATGCCTTATGGAGATTTGTCCTGAAATTATACATTATATTGAGGCACCCTAGATGACGTCATAAAAGTTATCAGGTAAAAAGAAAACCTTGGGTTGCCTGATAACTTCTATGACATCATCTCGGGTGCCTAAACATAATGAAAATCTCCGTTAGGCACCCTCCAGATGACGTCATCTGTTTCCTATTACCAAACAACCTAATAACTGCACCTTGGACGTTTCCTACTAAAAGTGTCCTAATTGGCCAACCCTGTACAAGGGAATCAGGATCTGTTTTGAATTTCTTTCAACAAAATGTTATTTATTTGATTGACTTTATGTGAAATTGGGAATTTCCTGTTGATGAATAAATAAACACATGAGACAAATTATTACATAAATAGGTATCTAAATAGTTCATTTGTACAAGGTGACTCAGAGTAAATTTCCCTTTTTAATAGCGCCCTGTACATCCAACTTAATACTTGTGGGGGGATAGCGCTGGTAATTTGCGGCGAATGCGTGCGGATTTTCGGTAAAAATGGAATTGTGGTCAAACGAGCAATGTGCCTTTATGGTCGAGGCGTTTTTCAAATTGAACGATTCCTATGTCGCGGCACGTCGACTTTTTTGTAACCATTACGATATTTGACGTAACAGTGAAGCTACATCAAAAAATTTATTGAAATCGTGGGTTCATAGATTCAACAGGATGGAGTGACGACACAAACAGCAGCAGTATCAATGGACACTGTACGTGAATTGTTCCGAGGAACTGTAATCTCGAAAAATGGGGGCATCGTTTTTCCACCAAGATCACCAGATCTTACGCCCCCAGACTTTTTTTTGTGGAGATATTTGGAGAGTATTGTCTACCTATGCCGATTCCCCAGCCACTATGGAGCAGTTAAAACGCAACATTCGAGAGGCCATTTCCAACATTCCTATTGAAATGTGTCGGCGAGTCTTCCCACATTTAAGAGCATCATTGGAGGAGTGCTATGCGAGGGATGGTTGACATTTGGATAACATTGTGTTTAAAAACGGTTTAAATAATAAAATACGCATTTCTGTACTTCCAAAATGTATTATTTAAATTGCCCCAACACGTTTTATTTTGTTTTTATAACATGTTAAAAGGGGAAATTTACTCTTAGTCACCCTGTACTTGCTCTATCTGCTCGAAAAATCAGAAAGATCTGCTAGGAGCTGCTATTTATAAGCTGATGTAATGTCTGCCCAGCGAATCTGTGTCTACGGGGCAACGGTAAGGGGAATGCAGTTGTCATAAAAAATGGCTGATTACATTCATAAAATACCCAGCTGCGTGCGGAACTTTTTGGAAGTGTTATTGTATTGCAACTCGTACACGAAAATCAGCAATTACCAAATTTCCGCCACTGGATATTTCAATATAAATCGATATTCCAAGATGGGAGGATAAAATGACGTGAGCCCTGGCCAATAGCGAGACGTAAGGTGACGTTAGCTCATTGACAACCGTATGGTTCCCCATGACAACGGCGATCCTGCCAAAAACTCCACCAATCAGGTTCATCCAGGACGGATGCTTGCCAAATTGTCAAAAGCTGATGGTATTTTTAGAAAATGTTTATTTTTTACAATAGACCAAATTGAAGAAATCAGGATTAAAATAAGGATAGATCTAACAACCACGTTAAAATATTTAGCGTTTTATTATTGTATCAATATTTTGTTATTAAAAAATGGATTTTCAAATTAACTATACTTCATCCCTAGTATTTTCGCTTTTTTATAAATAAATGTGGCAACATGGCACATTTACTTCCGTATTCCTTCCGTAGACTCAGATCCGCTGGGCAAACAATATATGGGACAAGTGAACACTGATCAGCTGCTGAGATCAGGATAGGGATTCTAATTACTCGAAGTCGAAGGATGCGACTAGGAAATAATGTTGAAGTTGCATATATGAAACGCTCGACTCGTGTCGACTAGTGAAATTGTAATCCGGCAGCTGCTTGAAGCAAGAAAAGCAGTACAAATGAACACCCCAAAAGGTTCACAGACAAAAGGGCCAAAAGACTCAATATTAATGTAACAGGCCTTACATACAAAGATAAAGATACAGAAAATCAATTAAAACTTTGCTATTCTATTTGATAATACAGAAGCTAAGTAAGAGGACTCGAAGTCTATAGAATATAGTGATAGATCAGCTATCAAACAAGTATCAAATATACAGTAGGTAGCTTATAAACTACTGACCAGTTCTACAATTATTATGTAATGAATATACTCATAGGAGAGGATTACATGGTACTCACCGCTGAAAAAGGTTTTGCAAGGGATCCGCTTGAAATGTATCGGCCTGTAGCCCCCTTCAGGGGGCATATCCTGTTTGATTTGAGCCATTTTTGTAAATTCTTAGTGGAATTTTATCAAAAAAGGCAGATAGGAGACAGTCAAAAGACAACAAAAATAAATGAGGTTAGGTTTGGAATGTATTTGACAGTAGGCTACATCCGTAGATATTAGGCGTTTACGGAAACGCTGATCCGATCACCGAAAAAAGACAAATTGTTATATATAAAGAGGTGATCGAGAAATCAGATTAGCTTTTTCGTAAAAGTTAGAACCGTTTATCGAGTTTCAACTGAAAAATTGAATATTCTAGTTCTTGTTAGCTTTTTTACTGTAACCATTTATCCAGTTTCTATTCGTCCTTATGCCCTGCTATGGTTGAAAATTGCAGTAAAAACAACAACGTTACTGTCCTGTTTTGAGAATGACCCAGCAGACATGGTGCACTCCGAGCAAATCAATCTAGTGAATACAAATCAAAATCTCCAAAGGTCAGCTGGTTTTCGAGCACTGCACTGGCTCTGGGGCAGCTTTCTTCGGTAGTTATTCTGTCAAAATAAGGGTTCGTTCGTTTGTTTCTGGTTTTTCCAGAATCAATTTTTGGTCACACCAAGCGTTCAGAAATTCATACGAAAGTTGTCGCCTAAGAATTGTCATTTCAGTCACACCCATAAAATCGCACTCACACCCGGTGTGTTATACTCGCCCCAGCTATGAACGGCTAGTGCGTCGCACCGGTGTCACACTCACACTGAGTGTGTCATTCCTGAACTCGCCCCTGGTCTAGTACAAGGATGATACACACTACGACTTCACGATCGCCTATCCTCATAAGGTATGTGTGTAATAAATCCCCTTTTCCCACCTTCACCAAAATACCAGTTGTGACGTTGGCAGCATGTAATTTCTCGCCTTGACGTAGGCTGTTTAAACAGCTGACGACGTAGTTATGCGGTCGGCAATGATGGCACACCAATATGGCGGCGATTACCAAAAACGAGGCCGATAAGCTGTTGTTTTTTTCTGTTGCTCGCTGACATATGACGTTTTCGAAAGATTTGTCATGTTTTCCTTCACAGGTTTCATCAATTGGAATACGTGTTGGAAGCAATTTCCGCCATTTAACATAATGAGTGCGACAAAAACAGGTATGCCCTCCGCAGCAGCGGCACTAGGCTTCACGTTTCTCAATATGTGTTCGCATTCCAGTTTTTGGTTATAGTTCATTGTTCCGTAGTACTGTTTAGAAACGCAAATATGGCCTCAAGTCGTTCTTGAGCCAAGACGCAATCTTGAGCATCGACTATGAATACGGGCCTTATAGACTCCTTAGAGTGTGTATTCTCCTTGGGGTGAGGGTGGGTATGTAAATTTTATCTGAGCCGCTTTCCAGCATGGGAGTGTGAAGCTCGGTGCTACTCGGAGCGTTGCTAGAGTCTGTTTTTTTTTTAAAGATAATTCCCCAAGTCAAAAATTTAGTAACTATGTTGGCAATACAAGCCTTTTCAACATAAAAAATTTGAAAGCATGACAAATTTACATTGTAGTGCCAACATAATGTCATATTGACTTTTATCTTAAAAAAAAAAATAGATTTTATACGTACACGGACCAATGAACTATAAACTAAACGTACCTGGAATGGCCCGGCCTATCTCTATAATGCGGCACATTGAGATGGAGAATGTGGGGGATCCCTATCTTTATTTAAAGTCTGTTAAAGTTAACTTCTTGAATTACATGTAATTCAAAAAGTTAACTTCAAGTTAACTGTCAAAGCAGTTTTATAATACCCGCCCTAAGAGAGATGACAAATGCCATATCCGACAACAGTCGGTGCCATTCCAGGGCTGCGTTCAGATTGAACGTCGGGTGTCGCCCGAGCGCGTTCCGACCGTTCAGATTGCTTTGGGTAAAATTTACCCAGCCGTTCAGATTGTCAGTAGATTTTTACCGGACGACGCCCGGGCGCACACTTTTGCATCCCATAAAATAGCAAGATAAAATTTGCCCCGCATGCGCGTTTGTGTTCTAACCTTAAATAATAAAGGCAAATATTGTAAATAATTATTTTTGCGAGTTATAGTGGGTTTATCTAAATTCTTCGTTATATCCTCATCAACTCTATTTAAAAAAAAGGTGGCCTCTTTCTTTTTTTTTGTTTAGTTTGTGATGCTAAATTGATAGCAATCACTGACACTAGCACATCCTCGTCGTCCAAAGATGAAGCGTCCTCATCATTCAATAACTCTTTAAATATGAAGATACTCTGGCTTCTTCCATAGTTAGTATTTATTTAAAAAATTATGAAGAAAACGGCAAAAATGTTAGAATCATTGAGGTTATAAGGAAAGAATGCGTCTTGGCCGTTCAGATTGGGCGAATCGCCGGGCACACTCGGAGTGCGCTCTCTATCGGGTGCGCTCTTCACTGGACGTCGTCCGGACTCTTCAATCTGAACGCGCCCCGGTACGTGTAGTTTATAGTTCATTGACACGGACAAACGTTACACGTCATGATACATGAACGGTACAAATCTAGTACGTGGCGGGGTGCTCTGGAGCACACCAATGTGCATATTGGAAAGCAGCTCTGGTGTGTTTTCGAACGCACTGGTGTATTAGGTGTATAATTATAACCAAACATAACATAGGCCCAGTGTGTTGAGCTGCTTTCCAGTATGCACATTGGCGCGCTCCAGAGCACCCCGGGTGCGCCACGCACTCGATTTGTACCGTTCCAGTATCATGACGTGTGACGTTTGTCCGTAGGTATAGCTCGGGGGCTCAATAACGCTCTGAGTAGCTCCGAGCGTCACACTCCCATACTGGAAAGCGGCTCAGCTTGTGCCTATCATCAACAATAACTTCCGTGAAACGGAAAATGGAATAAATAAATCTGACTAATCTGAAAATAGTAGATTTATAATGAAAAACTGGACAGGAGCGAAGCGAAATTTACCCAGCGGCAGAATTGGTTAAGAAAGTCTGAGTTTGGCCTTGCACTCCACGAAGCGGAACGTTATGGGCCGTGGGTATGGGTATAGATATCGTGACGTCATACGCAGAGTGTGCCCTGAACAAGGTCATGTCGAACGCAAATGGTCTGATCTCAAAAACAAAATTGTTTGGTTTTGATTTTAATTTTATTTCACTAGTAAACGAGTAGGTAAATTAGTAATGAACTTGATGTAAAAGTAGAAGAGAAATCTTGGGAAAAAAACCGGAAACGCAAACCAGAGCGAGCTCAGGGTACGTGCTCGATTTTAACTCGAACGCAATAGAGAACATAAGTGCTAATACGAACAGGATCTTATCGTTCCGAGAACGCTCAGAGTTTACAGAGTGTAAAGCCGAACTCAGCCAAAGCGTGCACAGTGGGAAGCCCCCCCGGATATTTTCGAACTAGCGTGAAAGTTAACGGAAGTTTAATACCTATTTATTTCCGAACGGCTGGTGTGACGCCCAAACTGATTTCGAACGTACTCCTGTCGTAATCGACTACTCGAACTGAGTGACAGATCCATAACTTTATTAATACGGAACACTTTTCATGATCACGGTTTTGAAAAGCTAACTCACATACCGTGCCTTTGTTATATTGATCTGAGCTCTCCGAACTTGGATTTACCATTCGTTTATTCAAAAATTAGGCTCGATGCAGGCTCATTCGCGTTCGTTTATTAAAATTTCGAGCACTCTGCTACAGCGTTTAACTGCTCTGTGCGCTCGCTGGTCACGTGATTACGGCTCCGCTTCAACACGCTCTCCTCTTTGAGCAAAATACCGAACGCAAGGATAGTCAACATCGAACACGAAACACGATACATTTTGCTCGGTCTTGTTCTGAATCAGCCCGAACATGGATTATTGCTCTGCACTCACAGATGATACAGGTAGAGTCATCTATGAACAGTTAGACCATCTAGTAAATATTTGGAAGATTTCTGTAGATATTCGACATTAGTTGGTTGACAATTCGACAACGACATTGACAATTCAAAACAAAATTGACAGTCATCAGTCATTTTTTTTATGAACTTTGATAAGATTGTGATGGTTTTAAATAATCAAAATTTGGTAACTAAATATGGTACAATGAAAATAATATCAATTTCAAATGGTAAAATTAACGAAGGAATTATTAACTGGATGAACTCTTGACCACAGAAGAAAATGAGTTGAAATGAAGAAAGTTTATAACCCTACTACTGATATCCAAAAAAAGGAGAGCCAAGAGCTTTCAAAAAAGTTATATCGGTAAGTTCTTGATTATTTTGTACTTATTTTAGCAATAGTTATTAATTATCTTGAGTAAAGTTTATGCCGCCAGTTCCATTGCCTGAGTAGAATCCAAATGATAGTTTTGACTACGTATATGCCAAATATAAGACCCAAAAACTCACTTTTCAGTACTTAGTGGTTTCAGGTTTGAAGGTACTCCAGGAGCAAAATGACCCATTAATAAATATCATTAATTTGCACTTGAAGAGACATGATAAATCACCTTTGAATTGAGGTTAAACTTATCCTTATCAGCAAAACAATTTATTTATATATAGTTTAGGTATTTGAATAACACATGTTTTTGTAATTTTCCTCATTTATTTACCTACCTACTTTGATTTCAACAAAATTATTATTGTTTATAACTATTTTGTTTGGTAGGAGTATTTTGTTTAAATATAGTATAACCTTTGTACTCAATAATCAGGAAAATTGATTACAAGGGCGATTTCCTATGATGCATGATTATGGATGAGGTGGGATAGTTTATCACTCAATATTTTAGTTTTTACCAAGGGTTTTTGTAAAACATTCACTGCAGACAGTGTCAGCTGCTAGAAGAAGCGCAGCTGAGGCCAGCAAGCACAGAAGTTTTTCCTCCTAGATATCTACACAACAATATACCTTTTATCTTGCATTTTATTCCGTTCTCATAGAATCACTTCCGTGGTTAGTTTATTTATTTCTTTCTCAGATTTGTGAATTTGATTTGAAAAATAAATGTTGGTTTTGTTCGTCCTTCTACTCCTTTTAGTGTAGATTATAAATGTGAATTCCACCTCAATTTCCTCGCTTTTCAAATCGGTATAGGTAGGTATTTGTTTTCCAACATTAGTGCTTGCCTATTTCTGGATCAGCGATCTGCTTATCTTAGCCCAACTCGAGGCCCAACTATTTGTGTTATTTTTTGCCTCAGTGCTTTGAGTATATTTACTTCACACATCATAACTAGCTAATCAGTAGTGCTCCTGCTTAGAGCCAATATTTTCAATGTATTAAAATTTGCAACCCTGGTAGAGCAAAACAGTTGACTATTTTTCATAAAGCATAGAGAAATGTCAAAAAAATGAAAGATTGATACCCAGTATTTCAATTATTAAGAGAGAAGAAAATTCAATTCAACTACAATCTCTTTGCATGTGAGTGACTCATTAATAGATAAATTCAATGGAATTTTTCAATGCCTTCTCCAATGTTATTCATTCAAGAATCTTTTCTGATTCAATGGTAATAAAATTGATTTTTTAAAGAAACTTTGCTTAAAAATAATTGTACTTAAGTTAATTTTCATAAATTTCAGGACAATAAGTGAACAAGCAAAATTACTGGACGATGCTCGCAGCCGTGTACGCAACATTTCCGACCTATTTACTCCTGTGCTTCTGTCGCAACGCAGAAAATTCTGCGACTATTGCGATCGGCTGATTTTTTCTGACCCGCTCCTCTACGGCCGCAGAGGCGAAGAATTACTATGGCGCAAAGGCTTTTACGAGGCAATAACCACTGCGAAAAAACTGAAAAAGCAAGAATTTTCCGTCGAAGAGAAATCCAGTATAGAAGCTCACATTTATGCAGGAATTGGCTTCTACCATCACATGCTCTCGAAACTTAACTTTCAGTTTAACATCCCACTAAATAATATAGTTGATTGTGAAATGATCTTAGAACCAGAAAATAATGCAGAACAATCTGTGAGTTTGGAATTAGAAGAATGGGCCAAGCAATCTATTCATCAATGTCTTATCTACTTGGGTGATTTGAGCCGTTACAAATTTGAATTAAAACCAAATAATGAGCCTGTCATGGCAGCCAGATATTATTTGCAAGCAGTATCTTTTAAACCAGACTATGGGATGCCTCATAACCAAATGGGCACTTTAGCAATGAATCAGAATTACTTTTTAGAAGCAGTTTATCATTATTTAAGATGCCTGGCCTGCAAATTTCCTTTTGAAGGAACAGCAAATAATTTGCAAAGTTTATTTGAGAAAAATTCTAAATATATTGAAGGGTTACCGCACGTTGATGAAGAGGCTGACTCAATTATTGAACCAGAAAAATCTGATCATATTAAACAGTTTATTGCTAGGTTTTTGTTATTAATAGATATCTGGTACTTTGACAAAAAAGTTCCAAACGTTTACGCCCTTTGTCATCAAACTTATAAAAATTTAGAAGATTGTCTGGCTTACACCAAACCTACAGCTAGTGAATCAGGAGATTCGCCAACAACTGATATTGAGCTAAGTGAAGGCGAGCCTTCATTTTTGAGTGGGCAAATGATTTTCAGGTACTTCTAATAAAAATAAATTGTCTACATAGTGTTATTTTTGTATATTTGTTTTCAGAGTTGTTATGATCTGTTTGCTTACTATAGCCAAATTGCAAACCACCAATTCTCCCCCATTATCTACGTTGATTGCTTTTACTTTAAGTATTTATTCGCAAATTATTAAAAAACTGTCCAATCATATTGAGGAAGCTGTTTTGAAATATCCCCTTTCTCATGAACATAAGAAATCTTATGGAGTTTTAAATGTAAGTAGGTATGCAAGAATTTGAGCCAAGACATTGAAAAATTATTGCTATTTTAGGAAATTATTAATTTGGGAAAGAAGAAATCAAAACTAAATCTGCGCAGAAGAAAAGCGCTCAAGATTGCCAACAATGAAGACTCAGATTTGAGTGAAAATGATCATGAATCTGATTACAGCAGTTCGGACGATTCATTTATTTCAGATATAGAGGATGTTTTAGTTGATTCTTCAGATGAGGAACTAGATATTATTAAAGTAATATTTATCAAAATTAATTCAATTAAAATAGAATTCTAAAAATGGTAATTTTTAGGTGTCTGACGAATCCATTGCTGAAAAATCCAAACATAGCATCCCAAATGGTATAAAACATAAGGAACACAAAAGTCAAATGGGAGAACCCAAAAATAAGGAATCTATCTACAAAAAAGTCCAAAAAATGGATGTCAATGTTATGTTGGAAATAATTAATGAAGAAGGGCTGCTACAAAGTATTAGAGTTGTCAACGATTGGCTAAAATCAGACCAGGAAATTATAAAATCTTGTGCCACCAATACTAAAACTTTAATCAGACAAATGATGCGCCTTGCTAATTTGATTAATTTAAATTTAAGCAATTTTAAAGCTTTGAATATAAATTACAAGGCAAGTTTTATTAACATTGTTATGTGAAATCTAATTGTTTCCTGAAGGTTTTAGATATAATTAACAACGAAAACAAAATCCCATTAGCTGAAGATATTATTCTTAAAGGCATCAGTACATTCAAAGACGCTCAAAGTAACTACGATTGGAATTTTTTACTGAAAAAGCAAGTTACTAGCAGAGAGGAGGCAATTATTAGAATTATAAAAATTCTTTCTTTTGGCAAAATATTGACAAACATCGAAGAAACTGGCATTAGTTATAATGAAGACAAAAATATTTTCACTTGCAACTTTGAGGATGATAAAACTGTGGATGACAATGGTGTTTCGGCTGCTGCTGTTATGGAAGAATTGGTAGGTGGATATAGTATAATATAATTATCATACACTTTTTTTTGGAAGTCATTGCAAAAATATTAATTGTGACAGCGAAATTTTATTGTCGCAGAAGAATCCAGAATGGGTATAAGGTTTTGCTTCCATTTTTACTGCTCCACGTTTTACTCCATAATGTTAAGTTCATAGGCACCTTATCAAAGGCTTTCTCTAATATACAAATACAACACAATAAATTTTTTACCAAGGTCAACACTTCTGGTCCAGTCTTCCAGACATTTTATCAGATTTTTTTGGAAGGAACCTGTGCTGGTTTTTCAATAGAAAATGTCGATTTGTCTATAATCGCCTTTTCCATGCGAATGGTTTACATATTAGTTTATCTCCTTTCTTGAACATTGAGTTTACTATAGACATTTTCCCCAATATTGAATCCTATGAAAAAAATCCATCTTGAGATGGAATGTTATTTGTGTTCTGGGGCAGGAATATCAACTTGTCTGTTGTTTTGGGTTTTAACTGTAATATATGCAGTAAAATAGTGTGTCGTACATGCACCAACCTACAAGCCCAAGAAGTTCGCTGTGTGCCAAGCAAAACAAGAGGGTAAATGTTCATCTACCAAAAATGTCTCAAAGATCAGGTAAAAGATTCAGATGACTCCAATACACAAACCAATGGGAAATGCTCTGGAGCAGAAGGGTGCATAGAGCTCTCGATAGAGCTGCAACAGATCAGATCCCTTGTTCAATTTGAAATCCTACCCCTACTGAATGAGAATTTCACGCGATTTCAGGAACTTTTTATGTCTAAAGTTACAAATAGGGTTTCAGAGCGACAGTGGGTTTTTACATCAGCAATTTCTGACATGCATATGGAACAGATGGCCATCAAGGTGGATTGGTTAATACAATTCATGGCTCCAATGTAGATTTAGTTCGCACCCTTGCTGGAAATTTCATCCCAAGAAATGATGGATCATCTCAAAGGGTTCCTTCACAAGCTGGGTCTCCTAATGCAGTTACGCTGTCACAGATGGAGAAGGCGGTAACAGAAGCACTTGGTAGTACCAATCAAAATAATCAAACTACCCGAGACTCTCGTTTTATAAAAGTTAATACTATGCCCTTGAAGGGTCACACTACAGAATCCAGTATCAGCTGCTAGATCAACGCAACCTTTCATCCCTCATTTCTCAACTAACAAACATCAACCAGCAGTCCAAAGGCAAAATCAACTTGAAGCACGGAAGAAACCTCGTGGGGTTGAGATTGTAGGGGCAAACAATGCTGGAGATATACAGGCTGTCGCGAAAGAAAAGCAGGCTGTTATTTTTGCATCTCTATTTTCGATGAACACTGACACCAATAGCTTATAGACATATTGATGAATAATAAAATGAATACCACTTCTACTAAATGTGTAGAACTAGCACAAGAACATATAATTATTTTAAGGTCATAGCAGATATCAACCTTAGAAATGAGTTATATAATCCTGAAACTTGGCCCTCAGGCATTATTGTAAAGCCTTATAAGTTTTTTCAAACAAAGCGATCTTTTGAGCACAGATTCTTATAGCAGTTGTCAGCCCAGTAATAATAATAACACATTGGACCAAGTCAAAATTGTTCATATAAACCCAAAGTCCATGTGCAACAAATTTTCTGATCTGCATATCTCTATAGAAAATTCTAGAGTGCAAATTATAGCCATCACAGAGATTTGGATTCCCTAACAAATGAATACTACTCACTTCAACATAAAAGGCTTCAACTTTTTCTCCTGCTGCAGATCAAGGATTGGCGGAGTAATAGCAGTTTATGTAGGCGTATTGAACATCACCACCACAAATGAGACGGTTGAACAGTGGTTGAAGATCAACATTGAGAAACTATCATGTGCTCTTGGCATAATCTATAGGCCTCCATCTATACCCTATGGAGCATTCGAATGTCTATATGACAATACCAGAGGCACATGATATATGCATTATTACTGGTGACAGATCAACTGTCTCCAGATAGCTCCTGCTACAAGTATTAAGTATTTGCAGCAAATCTTTATGTCATTTGGGTTAAACCTTAGACTATGTACCGACAATACTGTAGAGACAGGAGAAGATGCCTGTTTGTTTCGCTCCAACATTGATGCACATTATAAAAACCACATTGCCCCGCGTAGTAAAATAGATCTATTGTATTTATGCAATGTCCTTTTCCAACTTCTTATACAAGGCAAGGATAGACAACCACACGGCTACCGCTGGACGTCAAGGAACGCACCCCTGTTGGCTGCAGCATTCTCCTACCACAACAAATCTTTGGCAGCACTCATTGAAAAGTAATTCTAAGCGCTTGTTGATGTTAGGTCAAACTATTTGGTGATTTATGAATGACTTGTCCTGTCCCTACCGTATTGTAGGTATATAGTCTAAGGGTTAAACTAGTTGATAAGAGACCCGACAAGAATTACTCGGGGGTCTCAAAAAGCTTTCGACTTAGTGCTGGTGACTGATACTGATATCATATGTGATAGTGGGGTCATTGTCACGGATCCCGTTAAATCAGATCATAAGGCAGTTTTTGTCATAATATCCTGTGATAGTTACCAATATAAGGCAGTTTTTGTCATAATATCCTGTGATAGTTACCAATATAAGGCAGTTTTTGTCATATTATCCTGTGATAGTTACCAATATAAGGCACACTGCGCTCAATACCGAAGTTTCAGGCAAATTGATGAGGAGCCTTTTCGAAGTGATATTGGCAGTATAGATTTTAGTTCTTTGTATCTTTCTTGTGATATCAATTTATATTGTTGTTTAATAAGCATGCCCAAAAACACAAATATTTAACAAACCAAGTATCCCTTGGATTACATATAATATAGGATGTATGATCAAGGAAATGAAAATGGCTTTTAATAATTTTCTGGAATTGTAGTCCCTTGATAGGGATAAAATTCAGTAAAAGTTTCAGCTTTCTATCTATAATAGAAAAAAAGTTGTGACTTTTCAAAGTTTTCCAAAATCTATATCATAAGGTAGGTTCTTCTTACTAAAACGATGAAATTTCAAATTTTTTTTTGTCGAGATTTTGTATCCTAGTGGTCAATCAACATACCCTAAACTCCATACACTAAATTATTCTCAGATTTGAAGCCGAAATCTATGAAAAAAGGCACTCAGAAAAATTGATAAAGCACCCCAAATTGCTTAACACGATTTTTATCTCAGGAACTATAAGTGCAAATGAGCTGAAATTTTCAGGGATTGTAGTCCCTTGATTGGGATAAAATTCAGTGAAAGTTTCAAGTAGGTACCTTCTTACTAAAACGATAAAATTTCAAATTTTTTTTTGACGAGATTTTGTATCCTAATTCAGTTTAGGTTAGGAGAGCACAATACGAAAACCTTGTTCTTCTAATGCCTTATGTAGAAAATTGGACTGAATCTTTTCTAATCAGAAAAGAAAACATCACACACACAAAATAATTTACTTTTCTTTAATCTTCAAAATAATAATTATCAATCCACTAGCTGACTTAACTAAATAGAATTTTAAATTCAATTTTCAAAAAATACCGAGATTGTATGTAATTCGAATGAGAACAATGCATCGTGTAAACTTGTCGGATAAGTTTCCGCGAAATTAATCGTAAACGCGAACAACGGGATTCAGCCTAGCATGGGACCAAGCAGGCCCCAGCATCGCTGCGAAGGGGATTTCCATAAAGATGCAAATGAAGCTAAAGCAATTGGGGCACACGATGTGATCACTCGCACCTAATTACTTTGTTTTCGATCGTCGTAATTCCCTTCGGTTGAGGCGGGCCTGGCGTTCAAATTACAACGGCTCAATGCCTGCTAGGCGACGTCATGACCTAAATCACGATTTATTTCACGGAATGCTTAATTAACAGTTCAATTATTATTTTTTTTAAATCGTTTCTCACAAATGCTGTCTTTGATTTGAAGTTGTTTTGCTGTAATACGAGCAGTTACACCATAAAAGACAAATTAAAATTCTAATCTGCTTTGAAATAAGCCATTTTTACCATAGACATCTAGCTGTTTCTGTAAATGAAACTGTTGACGCTAATAGAATCACACAAAACAATAAATATGGATTCCTTCTATATAATTATGGCGCATTAAAAAGACCATTCTTATCACACATTTTCACATTTTGCTAGAAAAAAAGTGTATGTCTATTGCCATTACTGTAGAATATCCCTTATACTTAATTAAAATCCTACATCTTTATTTTATCTCAGGAACGTCAAGAAACAAATTCCACTCCATCAAAAATGACCAACGGCGAATCGAAAACCGAAAACGGATTGAGCCACCTCAACAAAATGAAGCAAATGGGTCAGTTGTGGTTGGCCGCCGAAGTTCGCGCATTGGAAATCAAAGTTGGACGCGCCAAAGTTATACTCTCCCCTTATTTAGTACTTGACACCGATGCTCTTGTAAAACATACTCACATGGTAAAGCAGCTGGTTTTTTCTAGACAATTTATATTGCTGGTCCCAGAAACAGGTAACTCTTTAAGTTTGCACTGATTTAATATATTTTTTTAAAATTATAATGTTTTTAGTTATATCTGCTTTGGACGACCTTAAAAAAGAAAAAATCGAAGCCAGACAAGTAATCCGTTGGCTCGAAATTCAATTTCAACGCGGCAACCGATTTTTCCGCCCCCAAAGACCCCACGAACGTTTACCCATCCCCTTCGTAAAGTACCCGAAAAAGAAAGACAAAGAAATGCACACCTACATCCAGCTCATCGAATGTTGTCATTATTTTGCTGATCAGCAAAAAAGCACCTTGAACATGGTCACTTGTTTGATTGGCGCCAATCGGTCAGCCCTACTGCTCTCAAACGGCGAAAATAAAGATTTCAGTTACGCTGGACTGGCTAACTCGGTTGGAATCACATTAGAATCGATCACTAGTTTTTATGGCAAATGGAAAAAGAGTAAAGGAAATAATAGGTGAGGTAAAAGAGTATCCGTCGTTTGGGACTTCGGCTATATATCCAATCCAATAACAACATACAAAAGGACAAGATTAAGCGCTCTTGGATGATGGTCATTTAACTACTGTGAGAACCATGGATCTTATTCAAGACGTCCAGCTGTTGATTTAAAAATAACGTCCGTTATAATAATCATTATTACGTTATATTATTTTGGTATCATTATATTATAACCATTATTTGCTTTTATAGTGTGTGATTTTTTTCTCTTAATAAAGAAATATACATTATTCAAATAGCTTAATGTTCTTTCATTAAAATTTTAACAGTGGAGGTATAGAAAAAAAAAGAGAAAAATCGAAATCATTTTTCGACAGTCGGCAGTGTTGGAGCTGGTAACATACCTTAGGTGACACCAGTTTAAAACCCCATCTAAGCTGTCGCTTCAAGAAAATTTAAGTGAAAACTTGCGTAAGCTCAAACAAAATTGTCATCTTGCTAAATTTGATTGGTGAAGAATGTGTGGAAATGTACAGGAAACCGAAGCAAAGTCTTTTCAAAGTGTACTGAAAGCTTCTGAAGATCATTGTAGCCCCAGAAAAAAATATAGTTTTCGAGCGTTTCAAATTTTATAGTAGAAATCAACAAGGTGAAGGATTTGACCAGTTTTTAACGCACGTCAAGAAATTATCACAATCTTGTGAATTTGGTGCTTTAGGTGATGAGATGGTTCGAGATAAAATTGTCTTGGGAATTCATGACAAGGCCATACAGGAAAGGTTGCTACGTGTGGAAGGCCTTGACTTGTTTAAGGCTGTAAATTTATGCCGAGCTGCTGAAATTTCTAAATCTCAGGCTAGAAATTTTCAAGGAATCTCTGCTGAAGTTGAGTTTGTCAAGAAAAGGTCAGAAAACTATAATAGACCCTTAGATAAGGCCTGTTTAGTGGAGTCATTTTTTTTGTCTGGCATTTTGAGGGATGAATGAGACTAGTTAGCTGATGAGAATATAGGTGGTTTTCATGCCTGCCTCCTGTTCGAAATGTCCACAGAATGTTTCGCCGGAAAACTCGACTTCGAACTGTGATTAGGTACCGTCTGGCGATTTTTCAGCGTTATTTTCACAACAAAACCTTCCATTCTCTCGATTACCAGACAAAAAATAGAAGCAGAAGGTTCTTTTCTTTTCTCTTGGAAGTTGACACTCATCCCCACTTTTTCACTTATTGAAAAGCAGCTAGTATTTTTTATGGGTGAATTATTAATCAATGTCAATCTTTTATTTAGAAGCCAAAAAATTTGAGATCATTAAAAAAAAATTATTCATGTAAATCAATTTTTTTCTTCTGCAAATTTTCGAACGGGAGGCAGGCATTAAAATCACCCATATTCTCATCAGCTTAGTAGCCATATTCAGCCCTCAAAATGCCAGACTCCACTAAACAGCCCCTATCTCACAGTCTATAAAAATTATAATAAATTAGCCCCAAATTCTAGTGGTGCAGATAAAAGATTTTTGAAATCTGGGGAAAAATTCAAATGTATGCCAAACTTTGCATGGAGTTCGTGAATGTCCAGCCTTTGGAAAAAAGTGTGGTAAACGCAAGCAATCAAATCATTTTGCAGTTTCATGTCATGTTAAAAATGTAAAAGTGTTACAAGAATAGGAGGTGGAGTCTGATGAGGCTGAGTTCTCAATCAATATTATTGGAATAAAAAACCAGAATAATTAAAGTATTATCATTTAACTCATGGTTTCATAATGTAAATATTGGTGATCAACATGTGCCTATTAAATTTAAATTAGAGACTGGTGCAGATATAAATGTACCTACTGTCACGTGAAATGTTGAGTGAAGTTGGCTTTCTAGAGTCTAAGCTACGAGATACAAGAATACTTTTAGAAACACTTGGTGGTAGCTTATTAGTGTAGTGAAGTCTGTAGGAGTAGTTCCGCTGAAAGTGCAGTGTAAAAATGTTGAATTTATTGCTGATTTTATAATTGTGGATAAAGCTGTTTATCCTTTACTGCGACTTGAATCTTGTGCAAAATTAAATCTCGTTGCTCTACACAAGGAAAATATAGATTATCTAAGTTTAATACTAAGGATGAATTTGTCAATAATAACTCTAAATTATTTGAAGGTCTTGGGTAAGTTTAAAGATAAATGTGAAATTCAAGTAAATAATGAGGCTATATCTGTTATTAATCCACCCAGCAGGATACCATTCGTGACAAATTAAAGGAAACTTTATCAAGTTTAGAACATAGAAAAATTATTTCAAGAGTGGAGAAGCCCTCTGGATGGGTTAATATAGGTATTGTTATTGTCAAGAAAAAGGATGGCTCATTAAGATTATGTTTGGATTTACGACATTTAAATTTAGAAATTTAAAGGTCTGCATATGTGCAGGGTGTTTGTTTATATATTGACACCCCACCTACTTTACTTTACCTCTACACGTAGAGAAGAAAGGTGTACCTAAATCTCAATGGACAATGACCTAAATACAAAAGTCGTACAGTTTTGGCTGAATGTACTTGAGCAATAACTTAATTATTATAAAATCAGAATTTGTAAGATTATCCACTTTTTGTCAATTTGTCTTTCAACAGGAATTAGAAACGTAACTTTACCATCAAACTAGTAATATATTGTCACAAGTTATTCACGTACAAACGAGTGGATTGTTGCGGAACTTATGGGCGAACCTCTGCGGGACGAGCGCAGCGAGTTCCGCAGCCATCTATTCACCAATATGCTGTTCAAGTACGATATTAACCTGACACTCAAATGTCAGTTAAGTATTCTCATTAGTTCAAAAACTAGACGTTTCAGGTGAGTGTCTTATTTAAACAGTTCAACAGTACCTATATATATTGGTGAGTAGATGCCTGCGGAACTCGCTGCGCTCGTCCCGCAGAGGTCCACCCATAAGTTCCGCACAATCCAGTTCCTGCTTGAATAATAACTTATTATATTAAGTCAGAATTTGTAAGATTATCCACCTTTTGTCAATTTGCCTTACAACAGTAATTAGAAACGTAACTTTACCATCAAACTAGTAATATATTGTGACAAGTTATTCATGTTCAAACGAGTGGATTGTTGCGGAACTTATGGGCGAACCTCTGCGGGACGAGCGCAGCGAGTTCCGCAGCCATCTATTCACCAATATATTGTTCAAGTACTATATTAACCTGACTCACTCAAATGTCAGTTATTCTCATTGATTCAAAAACTAGACGTTTCAGGTGACTGTCTTATTTGAGCAGTTTAACAGTATATTGAGTATGTGAGTAGATGGCTGTGGAACTCGCTGCGCTCGTCCCGCAGAGGTCCACCCATAAGTTCCGCAACAATTCACCTATTTGTACTTGGACAATAACTTATTAAATAAAGTCAGAATTTGTAAGATTATCTACTTTTTGTCAATTTGCCTTTTAACTGGAATTAGTAATGTTACTTTACCAAACTAGTAATATATTGTGACAAGTTATTCAAGTACAAACGAGTGGATTGTTTCGGAACTTATGGGTGGACCCAGCCATCTATTCACCAATATGTTGTTCAAGTACAATACTAACCTGATTCACTCAGTTGTGAATTTTTCTCATTAGTTTAAAAACTACACACGTTTCAGGTGAGTGTCTTATTTGAACAAGTATATATTGATGAGTAGATGGCTGCGGAACTCGATGCGCTCGTCCCGCAGAGGTTCACCCATAAGTTCCGCAATAATCCACTTATTTGTATGTACTCATTCCTACTCTTGAAGATATATAGTTGAAAAACTGAAAGGAATATTTTTTTTACAGTTTTTGACTTAAAAGGTTTCTGGCATGTTAAGCTTACTGAAAAATCTAGTAATGTTTGTACTTTTGCCACACACTTTGGTTACTATAAATTTATTCGATTGCCTTTCGGGCTCAATATGGCGCCAGAGTATTTTCAAGCCATAAATCAACACATTTTTGGAGAACTTAAGGGTGTGCAAGTGCAAGTGTACATTGATGACCTGTTGATAGCTGCTGATTCCTCTGAGGAGCATGATCAAATTTTGAATTCTGTCTTGAAAAGAGCTATTGCAAATGGAGTTAGGTTTAGGTTTAATCCCAATAAACTTAGATCCTATATTTTACGTCTTCTGCATAAACCTCATTTTGGTATCGTTAAAACAAAGCAACGCGCTAGACAAGTTGTAGTTTGGCCAGGTACCTATGTCAAGCGATATTCAAAATATGATATCTAGCTATTATGTTTGTGAGCGTTACCAAAATTCTAAACAAAACGATGTGTTGATGCCTCATGAGATACCAAATGTACCTTTTCATAAGGTATAGCTTGTGACATAATGGATTATGCTGGAAGTAGCTATCTCATATAGTACAAGATTATTTCTCTAAATGGCTCGAAATAATTTTCTTAGAAAACAAAACCTCATCTAAAATTATTCGAAATCTTAAAGTTTTGTTTGCAGCGTTTGGTATTCCAAAAACTGTTGTTTGTGATAATATGCCATTTTTATCTTATGAATGTAAGAATTTCTCCAAAGATTGGAATTTTAAATTATGTAAGTATGTTGTATGTACTAGTTCTCCTAAATATCCTCGTAGTACCTATTGGTCAAGCCGAACGAGCAGTTCAAACAGCTAAACTGATGTTTCACCTAGCACTGCTGGAGTTTAGGAACACTCCTGTTTCTGGTAGGTATTGGTATTTCTCCAACCCGAATGTTGATGAATAGACTAACTAGAAGCAAACTTCCAATTCATACAGAATTGTTAAGACCGGCAATTCCCAAAGATGCACGTAATAGACTTGTAGCTAAACAAGAATATTATAAAAGTAATCACGACAAAGACGCGACAAATTTTCATCAAAATTTGAAACCGGGTGATGATGTACCAATTAAAAACAAATTTTGGGAAAAAGGGCAAGTGGTTGATAACCATTCTGCTCCCAGATCCTTAAATGTCATGAAAAGTAATGGTAACGTTATTAGAAGAAATTTTAGTCAATTAAATTAAAACTAACTGATACAAAATTTGAAATTAATAATTCATCAAATAGTTGTGCAGATGATTATAATCAAATTGAGAATAATGATCACTTTTCTTCTTCTAGTAACACTCCTGATAGTAATTTGATGAAACTAGCAGCAGCAAAACCAAAATAATGTTGATGATGATACAGCCCAGGGTCTACATACCTAAATGTCTAGACACACAATACATAATAGGATTTTGGGACTATACATTTCTTTTATGAAAGTTTAACTATCTGGCCCCATTGATTT